CTGCGTAGGTTTTCTGTAAACACAATGACCCAAAGTTAAGTCTAATTTTCTATTGATAAGAATATCTAAGAATGGAATATTATTATTAGTTTCCAACTCAATGGTAAAACGTATAAAATTTAAATGTCTAAGAATAATTTCGGTTTTCGATAAAAGGTGTCGAGAGCTTTCTTCTCAAAGGCAGAAATATATTCGCGATGACTGGTGATAGTGAAGAAGCCATAGCTGTTCCCGACTTTTGTTCAAGAGTTTGACCATTATAAGAAAAATATGTTCCCGACAAGCATTTTTCAATTAAGGTGAGAAGGTTTAGTTCCAGTTTCTCGGACTTTAAAATATCTGAAATGATGTCGAGAGTTTCGGGAATAGGAACTTTGGTAAAGAGGCGTTCTACGTCGAAACTAACTAGAATATCTTGTGTATCTAATGTAATGCTTTTTAATTGTTCAATGAAGTGAAAGGGATTAAGTACGAAACTGTCAGTTTTCCTTGTAAGGGGTTTTAATAAGGAAGCTAGATATTTTGCTAGAGAATATGTTGGAGAACCAATGGTGCTGAAGACGCCAACAGGAAGATTGGCGAAACGTCAGCAAGTTCGACTCAGCAAAAACAGACGCAGGAGGAATCCAGAAGTTTTGCAAAAAGTTTTTGTTGTTCTTATTAATGTTATGTATATTTAATGTAATTTTTGGTCGCCTGTTAGTATATTGCATTTGTTGTAAAATTTTCAATAAAGGCCATTATCATTATTATTATTATTATTCTGTAAACTTTGATTTTACTCCTTCATTAGGGTTTATTTTAGTGGGCCTAACATTAACTCTACGATGTTTAGCATTGGATTTCTACCCCCAAAATGTTTTTTAAACATAAATTTCACGACTTTATATACGGCCAAAAAAAATCTATTTTAAATAGACAAAAGACAATGCAAGATGAACAGCAAAAACGAAACAAGGATAAAACAAAACTATGTGCGCGCAAACTCATGGTGAACTGTACCTGCACATTAAGATTTAGGTTGGCGTTCATATAATCGAATAGTTTTTGATAATTTTCAAACTGCACATCCCACTCGGTCGGATGGTCGTATCGGAAATCATCTCCGAGCGGTACCAACAAAACGTTGGTTTTAAAAAGTTTCGATTTTTTTCTATACTGATCTAACAACAATTCAGCCCTAAAAGCATTTCAACGTATACACAAGCACAAAAACGTTTGCGAACCCTTCACAAATGTCCCTCACCACACAAACAAGGCTTCCGATCATTGGGTCTCGATCTTAACAGACGCAACCAAGTTAGAACGCAAAGGCTTTCAAGACAATACTACTGCCTAGTCACATAGCATTAGATACTTAATAATTGACTATGTTTTTTATCTGTTTTCGGAGGACCAGGCAGTGCATTATACATATAGCGTCCACATTCTACCTATAGCGTTCACAAAATACCCAACTAATCATAATTCTAATAGAAATAAACATAAGAGATATTTATACATTGATGAAATTACGCACAAACCTAAAATATTACCTGTATTCAATGTTTTTCTCTGTAATGACCTGCGGTGGAACATTCCAAGGGCAATGCAGCCCATGGTTTGGCAACCTTTTAAAATCAAACTGGCAACATATTTTCGGATCAGGTCCGCACGTGTGAGGAATATCGTAGGAATAAAAAGGCATCAAATGCGTAAACAGGTCACTCTCACCTGTCCCATCTGCAAGAGTAATGTTTTAAGTAACCAACCATTAGTTGGGATGAAGTGGAGAAAAAAAAAAAGCAGATACCCCATAACTGCCTCCACTTAAACTCCAATTGCTGCCTACTGGCCAGTTCTTTTTTCACTGAATAGTGAACCCTTTGAATTAACATATTCTGAAAGCCGCTTTTTTTGAGCAACGCAGGTTGAGTTAGACTCATGCCAAAGGGATCTATCGACCAACTGCTAACAGGGGTATAATTTAAATTCTTTTTCAGCCAATCATGTCCCTCTGCGAGCTGATGTATTGTGGATATCCAATGGGAGTTGGCCTCGTCATTCATAACCCATCCCCCTGTTACAATTTCCAGCTGATTATTATACAGCAATCTGCAAAGTTCAATTAGTACCAACCAGTGAGCACTGCCACATTTGGAAATGCCCTCCTGTTATTATTCATAAATAAGCACAAACTGCGTCTATACACCCAGAAGCCGAATAACAAATAATAATATAGTGTATCCCAGGGTGAACTTCGTCCATCTGTTATGGGAAAATTGTTAGTAGGAAAAATTTGAAACTTTGGAATTAAATTTACGGGCAATATGGTTAAAATATTTTTTTAAAAGTGTCACACCTGGATATACCGGAAATGGAATCCAAAAAACTAATAATATATAGGGTGTTCCATTTAAAAATTTCAATAGAACCCATTATGTCCCTGACATTAGTTTAATTCCAAACTTTCAAATTTTTGCTATTTAACAGATCAACAAAATTCTCAGTAGCACACCCGATATGGGGTTAACATTCAAATAAGTTATGGTAGGTGAAAGAGCTATCCTGAAACTTAATTTGAGAAGAGTTAAACACGTCATTCTACCTCTTTACGACCTCTTTTTGATCCTGATCTAATTCCTCCCACCACATAGAGAAATATGAAATTTCGGCCCATATAAATGTCCGACGTCTATCTTTAGGTAGTTTTTGCAACATGTTATCCAATATGTGTTTGGTTTGTGTAATGAAATACTCGTCAACAGTTTTAACCCAACCGACATCATTGTGTGAATGAGGAACCACAAATACTTTGAGCTTATTCTTTCTATTCCATTCTTTTTCATCTATTTCAATTCTCCATCCTTGTTTCCAAACACCACCATCAATATTGTCAAATGGTATTGATTTATACACATCCAACATCTGAATGTTGGTTCTGGGTGTAAAGTTAATATGAAAGGGACAGGTTGAGCTGTATAACATTTCAGCAATATTCAAATCAGACTCCAATTTACTGATGGACCCTTTGATTTGAACATGCGTGCTAGAACTTGGCTGCATCATATTTCTCATTGCTACTTTAATTTCATTAACTGCATTATGGTGTAAGCTTAAGTCATTTTCTAGCTGCTTTATTCTGTCTTCGAAATGAAGCCACTGGTTCTAGAGATAAAAATTCCCAGTGTTTCACAAGATTTTAGTAATTGCTACCAATACTACTTACATCTTTATAATCTTGACTAATTGAAGACTTCTTTATGGAAAGTGTTAAATCTTTCGCGGAATATATTGTAAATATAATTACTAAAATAAGCAGTGATCCAAAAATAACAACTGCCTTTTTTAATTTCATACTAATTACTTCAATGCTGCCTTTTCCGAATTATTTATTTCATTACAGAGCTAGGAGCTACGCACCAACATAGTCTTCTTAAAAAATTAAAAATCGTTGGGCACGATTACAATAATCATTCGCCCATTACCGACATCCTACCATGCAGTTTTTATAAACAGGAGAACGGGAAATTTAATGGTGATTGCCAATGTTGCCGAGCTGCTATATTTATTAGATTTAACCATAACATTTTATTCTGTTATCGGGACGTACGGCTCAATTCAATTTAAAGTTGGAAAAGCAAAATGTGAAAAAAAAATTATTAAATTAATCTTAAAATAATGAAACTATTAATATAAGAATAATTATATTGTAAAATTCAGCTAAAGGCACGCTTTTTTAAGTAAATCATACAATTTATTGTATTTTATTGTATTTAAAAACATCATATAAAACTTGGTGTAAATAAAGTTCTCTCATAATAATAAAAGTTTTCTTAAAAGACACCTATTAGTTATAATAATAAAATTTTTCAAAAAACTTATTCTTTTACTAATCACTGCTGAAACAGCTAAAAATCTATCATTGCACTTAGTAATATGAAAAAATATATTTTACTAAAAGAAATGTAGATACGAAAATATGCTTTAACGTATATAAGCTATTTATTACAATATTAATTAAAGCTGATTCATTATCAGTAGCCTTGGCTACTTCTAAAGTAATGCCTTTTTTAATATGTGAGCGTTCATCTGTAATAACAATATTATGGATATTAGCAATTTTTTTTACTACTACAAAAATTATCTAAGTTTTTCTTTGAATTATTTTTAAAGCATTTTAAAGTCAGTACCAATGAATTTTTCGCAGTTGAACTTGTCAACGGAGGTTTTGGTATATTCTTGAGCATCTTCAAATTATTATCAGGCGTAAGTAAAGTGGGAACAGCATTTGGTACTAATAGTCGTTTTGGTGGTGTATTTTTCTTGATAGAACGTCTTTCAAAATGATCGGAACAAATTCGTAGTCTGTTTGAAGACTCTTTATACTGAGCAAAGTCATCCCATTGTTGGCGTCTATACAATTAAATTTATAAATCAATTGAAAACACTAATTTTATTTAACAAAATTTTTTATATTATATCATCAAATTTAATTAAAAAACATTTAACAAAACCAAATTTACGGGATATAAATATTTACTAGTATAGTAAACAAAGCTGATCGACAATCAATAATTTACTTTTGGGACGCTATAAATTTAATGCATATATTACTTACATTTATTCTTTCTTTGGCCATACAAAAAGAGTGGTCTATATCTTTTTCTGGTTTTCTTACACCGAACCATGCTTTCTTAATTAATTTAAAAAATTTACTTTAGTACTTGGACACAAATAATAGATGGCATTCGTAACAGAATACGCGACCTACCTGTCTATCTTATATTCTTTGGTAGTAGCCATATTCTCGTATGTGGATTACGATTTTACAATCCAATAAAAATCTTTCCGGCCTATTATATCATTTGTCAATATACGATACCAATTTCATTCTTTGTTTTCAAGACTTGTAATTGTTCGATACCGATAAATAACAGAATTCTATCGATCGGCCCAGCTCTATATGCGTACAACTTGTTTGAAAGCTTTATTACCTGCGCATTCATTCTTATGAGATCATTCATTGAGTAATTTTGTATTGAGTATATTTTTGGGACAACTTGTTCGGTGGTTTTAAATGATCTAACCGATTTACTAAATCGTTCCTTGCAATTATCGCGAGATGTCCTGCAATCACTGTAATACCAAATTTAATTTTTTTCACAAAGAGGTCAGTACACCATTGTTTACATTTCAGGATATTCAATGTTTTTTTTTTCAGCTGGGATGTTCCAACTGTGGATTATCATTTTGCGGAAAATGTTTAAAACAAAAATGTAAAATTTCATCGAAAGGAGCCGGAGAATTTAACGTGTGTAGACTGTGCTATTCCAAATTAGCTTCAGGCCCCAGTGTAGATCAGCATGAGCCTGCAAATCCTCCGGATACATTTTTAAAGTAATGTTCTTTCTTCAAATATTGGAATAGTTTAAATCTATTTTGCGTTATTAGGCGGCTTGAAAACTTAGAAAATCCTGCAGTTCCTGCAATCATAGTTTATAAGCAAGATCCCAAACTATATTCATTGAGGACGGGTTTGTCACCTGCCGATCAAAAGCTCGTCGACCGATTAGAGAAATTAAAAGAAGAAAATGTTCCTCCCCCGACGGACGTTGAGATACGAAAAAGACTTGACAATTTGAAAGGGGAAAACAAGTATGTTCAAGCACCTTCTAAAGTGGTAAATATTCAAATGAATTTAAACTCGAATCAAAAATGGATTTTAATTTCAGGTTAATATGGATTCAAGGACAGACCAGCAAAAAGTAGACTCTCTTCTCGAAATGTTTGCCTGTGAGCGAGAAATTGAGCTGAATCACAACCCTCAGGAGGAAATTGAAGCGAGACTGGCGACTTTACGAGAGCGGGGTATCAGGCCTAACGAGGGCCCGTACGTTAGCAATTTGCACGACTCTAGTGGGTCTGAAGAAGAAGTGGATAGGATTACTAAAAAGGTAAGTATTTTAAACTGTCGAAAGTCAATTTTCAACTAACTAAAAGCAAGTATTGAAAAAATATTTATTTTGTGAAAATCTATTTTTTTTTATTGTATGTTGCCCAAAAGCTAGCCTGTTTTTCTGCATAAAACTTCATTCTGGATCGCGAGTTTCGACCATTTGTAAAACTCGTTATTAATTGATAGCTCTCATTTGTACCAATAAAAAGAATGTGCCATTCTAGTTACTGATTTTGAAAAATGTATTTTCTATAATTGTTTATACGCAACCCAAAAATAATTAGTAATTTTGATTTACTTTTATAACTGCTAAGAAAGTATCCATTTTGAATAATAGAACAAGGCCTCTATATCCCTATTTTTGGAGAGTTCATTTGCAAGACGATTTCTTTCCTACGTTTAGCTCAATCCACCAATCACCATCGATTCCCGTTTTGGCCATAACACATTAGACTAAGAAACGAAAATTTCACTACTCATTGCTATCAAATAAAATTTGATTACAGATTATAGTCTTTCTAGTCAGTTATAAATTCACAATTACAGATTAGTCTTTCTAGTTAGCTTAAATACTCCTTTTTTTGCTAAACCATATGGCATTTCTTGTAAAAATTGTAGAAATTAAGTATGGTCTGTTCATAGATATAAGAAGGTGACCAATTGCTTTTGAATGGGATTATCCAAGGGTGGTCATTAACATACAATGCAACAAGATTATTATTATTTATTATTTATGATTTTATATTACGGACCACAATTTCACCTGAATTTAAATTCCGAAACTTTAGGTAATAATCTTGTTGCATTGTATGTTAATGACCACCCTTGGATAATCCCATTCAAAAGCAATTGGTCATTTTCTTATATCTATGAACAGACCATACCTGAAAGGCAGATCTCTATTTCAATTTATTTTAAATAAAATTTGCATTCATTTTTATTCACACTGGGTATTTATGACACATTGCAAATAACTGACACTTTACCTATACCTTACATCGAATGACCTATTAGAAGTTCTGGAGAACTAAATAGGTATATTTTTTTTAATGTGATATAATGTAATGCGCATGATCTAACGCTTGAATACTTACGCACCTGTAGTGTTGAATCGAATATTACGATTATCGAGGCGGGGTTTTAAACAAATTTTCTTTTTTTTTCTTGCGAACAAGCTAGCAAATAAATATAGGAACGCGTAGCGGAAGTTGTTTAAATTTTTATATCGAATTCGAAAGTGCAATAAAAAACCTCACGCTCCATTTGAAATTTCAATGTTGCCACCGATTTCGGGTAGAACCGGCAACATTGCAAAAGCCAAAAATATTTTTGAATTGTAGGTCAGGGTCAATTACGGCAATGTGCCAAGTTTCATTTAAGTATTTTGATGGCGCCCATTTACCAAATTAAAAAAAAAAAACAAATTTCGTTCTCCAGAATGAGACGGTTTCTAATACGAGTAGTCGCCTCTACACACAACCTTGTATCCTTCTTCAAGCGCCATCTATCTATGTTTCTTCAGATTATGGACGAAGTCGCGTTGGACGAACGATGTCCGTTGGGTAGTTCACTGAAAAGGCACACAAGCGAAGAAGAAGACGCGATACGGTCGTCACCCGAATTGCCGTGGTGCGTTTTGTGCAATAGCGACGCAAAGTTTCGGTGTCTCGATTGCAGCAGGGACCTTTACTGCAGCAAGTGCAACGTGGAAGTGCACCGGAACTGGGGGGACACCGATCACAGGGTCGTGGCATACAAACCACAATAATGCAATATATAATCACAATTTTTAACCTAGGAATAAATTACTGTAAAATATTGTTTTTTTAGTTTCTTGTTTAATTCTATTTATTCTATATTTGTTGTTTTTTATGAAGTTTATTGTGATAAATTCTTAAAGGAATAAAATCAGATCACTTTAGCGATGGTTTTCTTAAAAAAAATTCTAATAAGTTGCAATTCTATTGCTTCCTTTTGCTCTGCGCATACGCCATAATATGACTTAATTGAAACACAAACCCTTTACTAATTATTTTTTACTCCAATTTAGATTATACAGCCTTTAACACTCATAAGTACGTTAGTATATGTGGCTTACTTAAATGAATACGATTTATAAACCAATCTTATCATGCCTCATTATGTGGACAGTAGAGCAAATGATAATGATTCTCAAATTAGGGAAATCGCCTTATAATATCGTAATTATATGAAAAATTAATACTCAAAAAATGTGATACCTCCATATCCATATTTCATGAGAATTTAATACAAAAATTGAAAAAAAAAACAAGGTAGCGTACTAAGTCTCGTACTTAACCTGCTCCATATAAGTGACATTACTATTATAGAACATAAGACCGTGTTTCTCATAGTGGGCGATAACGCCCCCTGTTGGGCTTTTGAAACCTGGAGGGGGGGTGTTAAAAAATGTCTTTTATTTACGGGAAGTTTAGAGACAGGTATAAAAGGAGAAACCGTATTTAAAACACTGAAGAAGTCTTGTGATGAAAAAGGAAATCCCTTGAGGAATATTATACTAGCTGCTACGGATGGTACTAGAGCAACAACAAGAAGGACTTAAAAAACAAAATTCCTGCTATGCTTGCTGTACGCGGTGGCCTATACCTTATTTCAGAATATACAGGATCTATCTTAAATACAAAAGTAATTTGGGTTGAACGGAAGTTTTATTTTATTATATTTTTGCATATACAGGGCAGGTGTTGCTACTCAAGTTTCTAGGAAAATTTCATATATAATGTTCTATACCTATGTCTAATGGTTTTTGACATATTTAAATTTTTATCTCTAATAAGAAAGAAAAATACCAATTTTTCCTGAAAGGAAATCGTTTTTTTTATTTGGGTTTAATACCTTGTCGAAAAGAACCTACTTTAATAGATTTTCTATAATATTTTGATAAATTTTAATACAGGGTGTTCAAAAAGTAGGATTAATTACTAAATTAAGAAAACTTTCAAGAATCTTTTTTTTAAAGGGAAACCCCCAAATTTCATAATTTCATCCTATCTACCATTAAAAATAAAAGGTAAGTTTGTATAAGGTTGTCTATGCTGAAAATGTTTAGTTTTCAAAAGATTGATTCATTCAAGCTTTGTTATGGCAATTCTTAGTTGGCTATGGCAGCGTTTAAAAGCAATATGGCAGTACTATTTCAAATTTATCAGTAATTTTTTTACCTAAACTTTATAAAATACGCCCTATTTTCGGGATTTTTTTTTATAGAACAACTAACTTGGATTTGGATTAGAACAATAGGTATTATAATACATTTTCTTGCCCGTCTACTGCCAATATTTGGAAAATCTTCACAGTGATTTCAACGAAAGGTTCCGGGACATTTTGAAATTGGAAATATCAGACCGAACTTGGCGACTTACTATTGTTTTTTATTAAAATCATCATATACATCCATCTCATGAGTTTAAAAACTAAAATTAATTACCTATCAATATTGTTTCTTTTAATTTGATTAAAATATATAATTAATATTTAAAGTTGCGTTTTAATTGCTCTCATTGCACTAAATGAAAACAAATCATTTGTCATCTGTCTATTGGAATCAACGATGCCCTTATCCAGCATTCGGATTCAGCAAAATATTTTGGTACAAATCTAGACGTAACTTCGCTGGAAAGCCCATGTGAAAAATAAAGACAAGACAAGGAATAAAATACAAAAAAATGGATTCGTTACTTTTTTAACTGCTTTGTGGCTGTACCAGCAAATGTAACATCTTAACCATTCCAAGGTTCCAAAGATTTCTTCAGCATGTCAAAATCGAGACAATTCAGCTCCTCGAGAACACTAATCTACCTAGGAAGCCCAAGGGGACAAAACCGTTTGAGGACAGTGGCAATGAAAAACAGAGGGCAGTGCGATGAAAATATTCCTGTAAGGCATATTTAATTTCAAAAAAATGCCTTTAAATATTATATAAGAAAACTATTCAATGGCACTAAACATGGCCCCCACTCCAGCCCCCTAGTGCTGGGGAGGGCCAATTTAAATTTGGCTTTTTGATGTTATTGAACATTTTTTATTAAATATTTAAAGGCCCTTTTTGTTTATGATCAATCATCAATCACATATTTTTGTATTGAACGAACATACTTAATAAGACTTAAAAAGTATCCCCCCAAATATTTCTGAAAATATGAAACATTCATGTCGTAATAAATAATAAAAATTTGAACTGGACACTTTTCTCGCTAAAACGCTGTCCGTGACGTCACCAGAAACGATTTTGTGTTGGGAGTTATGAGCCTTACAATTTTTCGTGGGTTTTCAATTATTTTTTAGTTGAAAATGGTTTATAGTTACTGTATCGTGACAGATTGTAAAACTACAACAATTTCTACTCCGGGACAAATAATTTATTAAATTTTTTCTACTCGCATCTGTAAAATACCTAATTATACACCGATCTCGCGTGCGGAAAGCGTCACTTTACTACGTCAGTTTCGTTTCCTACGGTAGCCACTTCGGACATTTCCGTGATTTTACCGCACGGGTTTGGGAGCAATCGGATGTTTTTGGAGATATTTCCCACGCTTTGAATTTTGATGTTTATCAATTCTGACGGTCATATCAGTGGATGTATTCGTGTTGTTCTGCGAAAATGTACCCAAAAACTAACGGTCGTAGAAAAAGTATAGTATGCAACATGTTCGGTAAACTTTTTAACTCGCTCCGCTCGTGTCAAATAAACTCGTGAGTCGAATGCCGTTTACCGCACTTGTTGCATAATATTCTATATTCAAGAAAAACAAAGTAAAATATGGCTAAAAGCAATTACACGCGAAACTGGAGGCATTTAATTAAAAAACTGCGTTTAGCTTCATCAGGAAGAAAATACATAGTACCCTAACCTCACTTTTGTTTTTTTTATCGTGTGTATAAAACTATATGGAATGAATAATGATGCAAGTTCAAAAAATTGTAACAAAACAAATACTTCCACACTTGCCAAGAAGACAGAAAGCGCATTTGTCCAACACTTAATCGAATGACAGTTATGAAAAGGATAAGGCAGAGTATCTACGTATTGATGAATGTCAGATGCAGGAAGAAATATTACATATTAAAAAAAAAGTGGAAACAATATAATATGGACGGCGACAATGCGTTGCTTGTCTCCATGGACCTCGTGACGTCACAACCCATGTGTGTCAATATTGTATTTTAGAAGGTAATTAAAAGGTTTCCACGTAATTTCAAAAATATGCGCAAGAGAGCTATTGCGCAGTTTCCATACTTTTGCGCGCCCGGTATATCACCGAAAGGACCACCGAAATAATTGTCACTGTCAGCGGCGCAGCGAACCAAAATTGAAAAGATGAGCGCTTTGGAAATTGTAAAAGAGTTGATCGAAACAATAAAACAAGAAATAGATAAAACGGAATCGTTGCCTTTCCACGATGAAGAGTTTTATATTCCCGAGTAAACCTGATCCATTTTTTTTTCTCTTTCATTTTGTGGTTTTTTTTAGAGATCTCGACGGAATTCGGAATCTTTATGAAAAACTAACGCGTCACCTGAAAGAACTGAAAAAAAATTTAGACAAGTATTTAACGATAGTAGAGAAGACCGAGCTCATTTCGAATATTCTGAGTTACAAGACGTACGAAGTCAGACATAATTTTCGAATGAAATTGGACGAGCTTCGGGATCGTAGAGAATGTCTAAAGGAAATGTTTACCAAAGGAGAGGACGAATCGACCGTCGCACTACAGTTGGTCGAAATTAACGATGAAATAGATAAATTGGAAGGGAGGCAGTTGCACGAGCTAGAATATTTTAACCAACAAAAAATTGTGAGTAATAGAGAGCATCACGCTTTCTAGTAATTCCCAATAAAATCTCAAATGAATTTACATACAGGGTGGTCCGTAATGAATGCGCCAAAACGCAATCATAGATTATAATGATATTGAGCCAACTAGTAAAAACCTGTAATAACGGCATCCAAAATGAAGCAACACTGGAAGTTACGTCCAGGTTTTGCAGATCACAAAAAATCATTTTTTAAAGGTTTTTTGAACATAAATACGAGGTGTGTTCAAAAAGTAAGGCGCCTTTTAAGTTTTGTCAAAAAGTATTATTTACTTATTTATCAAAATTAACATAACATAACAAATATAACCTAAAATATTTATCGAAATAAAGCCTTTCAAGAAACAAGTAAAATACATGAACACTTAGTTAGAAAATGATTGAATTACACACAAACATTTAAATATAGAATACTGAGTTTTATGACCTTTCTCTTTAATAAACATATCTTGTCCTGAAGAATAGGAATATTGCTCCAAAGAATCCTGTATCTACTTCAGACTTTGAGGGTGTGTTTTGGTAATAATTGCTGGTTGGACAGTTTTCTAACATGTCGCCTGTCATAAGAACCTATTAAATTTATCAAAATAAATAACAACTAAAAGTTCAGATTTTCACGAAATTGCTACTATATATACCGAAAAATGATAATAAACCTTAATTAAAGTTGTGAGAATTTACGTTTAATAATGGTGGAGAGGTATTTAAATCTAGACTATTGTTTTTAAACGCTTTTTTATGTTCGTTAATGCGTTTCTTGAAGGATCTACCTGTTTGTCCAATATAAATTTTGGGACAAGACCCGCATTTCAACCTGTAGACACCTGATCTTTGAGATTTTGGACATTTCGTTTTATTGTTTTTTGAACATTTTCCTATTGTGTTGTTAGTTCTGAAAGCTATTTTTAAATAAAATATAAAAAGTATAAAATTCACTATCGAAATTGAACAGGATAATTAATTTTTTAGACTTACCTATTACGAAAACGCAAAACAAATTAGATTTTTCCATTTACCATAAACCATCACACACGGACACAGTCGTACATAACAGCTCAAATCACCCTTATACACACAAAATGGCTACATTTCACTCTTTTATACACAGACTTCTTAATGCGCCACTCTCAACGAGAAATTACAACAAAGAACTTAATATCATTAATCAAATTGCACTGAACAACGGCTACAATCCGTCCATTATCGATAAAATTATAAATAAAAAATAAATCCAGACAACAGTAAACTCTATTTATCCGAAACCAAATACAGAACACGAACAATTTAAAACAATTACATACATAGGAGAACCTAGTGAAAGTTTCAAAACATTTGTCAAAATGTGGTTTAAAAATAGCTTTCAGAACTAACAACACAATAGGAAATTTTTTAAAAAACAATAAAACGAAATGTCCAAAATCTCAAAAATCAGGTGTCTACAGATTGAAATGCGGATCTTGTCCTAAAATTTATATTGGACAATAATAATTTTAAGTAATTTAAGTAGGTAATAAAAATAATTTGTAATTTTATTTTAGATTTAAACATAAATAAATAAATATCTTTTAGTATCTTTCCTAACAAAACCCCAAATAATTAAATTCTAAGCAAAGTACGGACCTGTCCACTTTCTTCTATCTATCTATGAACGCGATGAGGTATACTACATTTATTTCGACAAAACACCTCGTTTTCGAGATATTTCCATCATTTCAAGTCAAATCGCTGGCTCAGAAATATTTTATTAGAAAAAATTAGTTCTAGTGTTACTGGCAATTTTGTGAACTAAACCTTAGTACTCTGTATCTTACTAATGAGCGACATTTTACTAAGGCATATTTGGCTTAATACTAAGATATTTGGATAAATAGGATGCTCAAAAAGAATACGAGCAGGCGGTACACATATTGGACGCAGATTTTAAAAAAATGGTCATTGTTTTTAATCGATTACTTCGGCTGGTGAAAACGGAAACGTATGTCTCCGATGATCAAGATGAAACTAAATACGATAAATCCCTGCTGGAAATAGAAAAAATTAGACTTCATGTGGAAAGATATGGCCAGTTGCAAGTCGTGGGCTGGAAAGAATTATACCCTGAAGAAAAAGTATCTGGTATACTCCGTCCCAAAGTATATCGTTTTGGTCTTTGACGGCGATAAAACACCTAACCTAATTGTAACACTCAGTTGCGGACTTTTAGGGTGTTTTTAAAATATCAAGATTAAATATTATACTATGTGATATATATTATACTATATGGTTTTTCCAACTCTCAACAGGTCATTTAGCAGTAACCTCTCACATTTAATTTTATGTCGTGCCATGTTCAATAAACAATGCGTTCCAGTATGCTAGACTGTCAACTAATAACATACGAATTTAACATTTCTATTAATATTTTTTAAAAACTAATTTTGAAGCAAGTTTTCAAAAAGTTGTGCTCTCCTATCTTCATGACAGTCCCAGCTAGAGTCCTTAATATACTTCGTGGACAACAGCCAGCAGATTGCAATAAATCGTTCTTCTGATCAGGCGTGAGAATTATGGTGATGCGTTTTCATCGAGCGGTGCCTTTTGGTGTTGAAATTGCAATTGAAGGTATGGATATTCCAGACCCTGGATTTTTTTTTAGAATATTGAGAGCTTTCTGGTGGGTTCTGATGTCCCAAAACTAATGATTTATTCGTAAATATACGACGAAACAGTAATTCATTCACTTACCGACATGCGAAATAGGGATGGAACCAAAACTTGGACTCTTGAATTATCTTTTTTGTTTTTATGGAAAATAATATCCACCTTTATGACTTTTTTTGCAAAGGCCTTTTCTTAGTTTTCCTTCTTCGAATTTAATTCGAAAGTTTAGAAAATTAATTTTGCAGAATAAATTTATAGCGCTAAACGCATGCAAACTTGAGAGATTCTGATTATTTTCGAAAGATACCAGAGAGTATAGTATAGAGCGAGTATAATTGAAAGATGCAAAAATTATGCTCTATTAGAAGGCCAATCCTTATGTAAAACTAATGGATATAAACCTGTATAGACACACCTTTGAGATGACAAATAAACACGCAGAACAACAAGAACCAATAGATGTTGATTTTGATAATCACCAAACAGAATTCCCATGCATTTTTTTCCGAAGTTTAGAGCATAAAAAGTGTAGCAGCAAGATGTGTTCCGAAACTGCTTAATTTTGAACAAAAAGTTGTTGCTTAAAAAGGTCATAACTGGTGACGAATCATGGGTATATGGCTAGGACGTCGCACATATTTTTCTTTTAAATGTCAACTTTTTGATGTTTATGCCCCTCATTTAGTTCCACCCCCTCAAAAAGACAGGAGGAATCCAGAAGTTTTGTAAATAGCTGCTGACTCCATATTTCTTTCATCAGTTTATGTATGAGAGCCATGTTGTCCTCACTTTGGGTAGGTATGAAGGAATGTAGTTACGTTTATGGGGGAGGGTCCGTCAAAACCCAAGACGATATACTTCGACACACACTTTACCTAACCGCGCCAACATAAAAAATAATTGAAAAGAGAAAAATTTCAGAAATGTTAGAAAAGAAAGGGCTCAAGGTCTCGTTATCCGGATTGCTGATGACCGACAGCGGACGACAGCTATCTTTTAAAGAAGCGAAAGCGCTGAAATTCTTCGAAGGTTTCAGTCCCGAGACCATTAAGGAATTGCAGTTAATTTTGGGGGACAGTGGCAAGGACGAGGAGATAAGATCTTGTAATTTTTTTAATACGCTCTGTGGTACGAAAATCTTGACCTACGCAAGCTTAGGGAAATCTGGAGACTCGACGGCGAGTAAAATCTGCTCCGAAGATGCGAATTACCTGAAACGACATTTAGGCAGGGCCCTAACGCTGGGTTTGGCTGAAATAACGGCTTTGCAGCCGCGTGATCCGATCCACTATTTAGGACACTGGCTGTTTAAGTACCGCTACAACCAACAAATGGAAGACGTAAATAAAAAAGAATTTGAGATATTAAACGAGCAAAGAATGAAGATGGGCAAAGAACGATGGGTATTTATTTATATTAAATATATAAATTTTAACTACAAAATTAACCAGCAAATTTTGCTAAAAGTAGACTACGTCAGGGCCATCGGAATTAGAAGAGATAGTAATTATTTGGTTATATTGCTAGAAATTGTGTAGTTTACAAACAGTAATATGCTATGCTTTCCTTATTTAAAGTGTTTGTTATAGGCAAGCTTTCATTTGGTAGCGTGGTTTGGAGTCCACAGTACAAGATCTACAGAGATCGCTTGGAAAGGGTTCAAAATGAACTACTAAAATTTATCTGACCTCAGAATCGTGATTACAGTCCTCCCTTAACTGATGGGCGCATATTATGTTAATAAAATTGTGAAATATTTAAGTAAATATCCCTTTTGGTTAGTCTCAGACTAGGCGCTATGTTTGATGTGAATAGTGAAAATTGCAACAATGCAAAATAATGCAACAATGTACTGTTATCCAGTGTGGTTATTTTAGTGTGTGTAACATATAATACTTTTTTACGAACATATTAGGTGCTCTTAAAGTATTTGCAAGTTAAACAGCATGCAGAGCAGGACAAAAAGTACAAAAATTTCACAAGTACCATTATTTCATAAAATTGAGCAAAAAGTTATTAAGTAAAGTTGTTTAAGAATTAAAAGTTCTACCTACCTTAATATTAAAATATTACTAATTAAGAAAATTTTTGTTCCATCTTATTTGTGAAATTAACTCGGATTTTAATTTAATTTGATTACGTAGTCAAAGCAATTAAGCAATTTTAAATAGCAAAATTTTTGTTTTGAATAATAATTATTAAACGTAATGACAGATAACCATAAAAGACTTACTAAAAGTAATAATAAAATTTTAACAAATTATGAATAAAAATCCATTTTGGGTACTTTTGCTGTTATTTATCGATAAAAAGTTGCGGTTTTGGTGCTAGTATAACATATTTTCGTAAAACTTGAGATAGATGCTGTGAATATTTTCGTAACATTTCAGCTTTTACTATACACACCGTTCATGAAAATTTCGCGCTCCGTTGTCCTTAAACTTATCGAAAAGATAAGTATGTATTTTTTCCGTAGAATGCAGTGTGCTAGATAATTTTTGTTACCAATTTATTATTTCACAGTTATAGAGTGTTTTATTCATATTTTGTTATATTTTTTTGCCAGAAACAACCAATTTACTAACAAAAACAAAAATAAATGTCAGATATGTGTCGTATCTTATTAGTTTTTGGAACCGAAACTTTTCGTTTATAAATATATATCATTTTATTTAATTGATATTGTACAGCGAAAATTATGAAGAAGTTTCCGAATTATACTTCCAAAGCTAAGTAAGCTATTTAGGTTACAAACATATATATACTTATTAGGTATGTAGATATTTCACAAAGTGACGCTCTTAGGATCTTGGAGAAATATGAATATCGAGCATTAAATTAAACAAGGAATTTTAGAATATTGTCCATTCAATTGCTCATTTCTAAGAGAATGTGCAGACACAGATGTCTCATACTTTACTTTTCGTGTTCTGCCAGATAAGTAAGATTTTAGTCAATCCAGGGCTAAGTGCTTTATACCCATATTTTCTAGATTAGCTGTTATATTTATTTAGTAATTTTATTATTTTGAAAATGTACGTGATATAAAATTTTCAAATGTCCTAAATATATTTCAATACCGATTTATGTTTTTGACAGTTCAGCATAAATTATAAATGTCACAAGTACCAACTTGATAAAAGATGAAAATGGATTTAAGCCGCTTTCAAAATAAACGGCCCATTAAAAAAAAAACTTAATTTCAACAAACACTAGAAATACCCAGTTGTTCTTCGTCGCTTAAGTAAACGATATTCTGGTAAGTTTCGACTAAAGTCCCCATTCCCTAAACTGTCAACATTTTTAAAAATTTATTCAAATAGGAGAATCTGGCACCAAAACAACTTAATTGAAAAATGCTGGCGTTATTTGGTCTCATAGTCAGAAATCCGTCTGAGATTTTCTTAGCTATTTAAACTCTATATATCCTAACATACGTTTTAACATTAAATTAGAAACTAATAATAATCTCTTATTAGACGTTTTTATCAATAGAAAATCAGAACTAACATTGGGTCATTCTGTTTACAGAAAACTTACGCACACAGACCGATACCTTAATGCATTGTCATATCATCATCCGTCCCAAAAATTATCGGGTAAAGTCTGTTCATAGATATAAGAAAGTGACTAACTGATACGAATTAAGGAAAGATCCGGGCAAGCTGTAAGAATGAAATATGTTTAAATCTAAAATAAAATTACAAATTATTTTTATTACCTACTTAACTTACTTAAAATTATTCACAAAATATATCAGTATTACTATCGCTATCATTGCCTGTTCTAATTATTATTTGTTCTATATTATTTGCAATATGGATATACGTTTGTTCTGTTTTTTCTATATGTTTAACAGAATTTGTCCAACTTTGTGGAGGGATGTTAAAAACTTCGGTTTCTATAAGTTTGATGACATTGGAGTTAAGACGGGGAAAAACATTGTTACGACGAATGGCAGATTTCAGTTGGTGCCAAACATGGGGTTAAATATACAGTGGTAAGGTGGAAGCCTTAAATATTGTATGCCCTAGATTTTTTGCATAATTATCACAGACGTATTCCTTCTGTAGGTGCAAGCTTTGTAGAACCTCAATTATTTGCTTTTTGGTATAATCTTCGTGAAAATAAATGTCGTAATACACATAGTTTTGGATTGTTGCTTTTGTGTCACATGAGGAAGGGGTTTTAGTCAACTGTCTACTGTGATAACTTGAATTGTCCATTACAATGACGCTATTAGGAGGAATGTTTGGAACTAGTTTGTTTTTAAACCAGCTTTCAAATAAATCAGCGGTGGTGTCTCCATGGTAATCCAGAGAAGAATCTTTAATATTTTTCGCAGACAGAGAAAGTCCATTTGGAATCCAACCATCTTTTGGGCCAGCATGCGAAATAGTTATTCTTTTATCTCTTTTTGATGGCGCGTTTGTTGTACACTTATCAGTTGAGTCAACCGAACCCTTTTCCGGGGTATCATAAATGTCGAACCAGGTTTCATCCAAGTAAATAATTGGCCTTTGTTGTTCTCTGTAAATCGTAATTTTTTCTAGATATTCCAATTGCAATTTCCAAATTCTAAGATTCCATTAAAACTTGCCTTTTGTCAATTTTTTTAAATCTCAAACTCATGTGTTTAATACAGTTCTGCCACATTTAACACCGGTTTCATCTTTTTCAAGCCTCCTAATTAAGATATCTAATGTAGGCACGCTTTGTTCCTCGTATAACTGGTAAATTTTACGCCGTATTATATCTTGATCACTTTCATCTACACTCGAGAAAATGTCAGCATCGCTTCTTTTTTCCTCGCTGAAATGGGATTATTCACCATTTTCCATATAGTTGATGTTGGAATTTTCATCAATGTGGCCGTTTCTTCTAAGGATGCTTGCTTGCTGGCACCACGTTCAATGAGAGTCAAATAAACATTGTTTATAACTTCCTTAGTCCCAATAGAATAGTGTTTTCTACATTTGGGCGGGAGCATCTCCTGTGATACACTAGACTCGCACATATTTTGAAAAATTCGCACACGATTCAACACCCGCTGTATTACACACGAAATAAGAATGTTACTAATAAACTTAAACTAAGTAGTATACCAAACCAAAGAATATTAAACACAGGTATTACGGACCACAATTTTACCTGAATTTAAATTCCGAAACTTTAGGTAATAATGTATTGTATGTTAATGACCACCCTTGGATAATCCCATTCAAAAGCAAATGGTCTCTTTCTTATATCTATGAACAGGCCGTATCAAATCTCTTGTTTAAAGAGCCCTAAAACTATCTCAGCCTGGGTCGCTGAACCCAGAATTAAAACACCTTACCTCTGCTCTTCTTACAAAATACACTTCACCACAACCTCCCAATAGCAATGAGGCCTAAAGCAAGCGCACACTTGCCACTGCTGTCCTTCCCTACATTCAAAACATCACCGACCACATATCAAAGGTTCTTAAGAAATATAACGACAAAACCATATCGACCACTTGTCCAAAAAAAATGTCAACTAGGCTAAAAGGACAGCAGTTGCCGGGCACAATCATGACACCGGACATCAAATCTTATTTGGCACACAAAAATTCTAACTAACTAAACAACCGATAACTCGGGTTTTTACCTTTCACCAATTTCAGTTAAGCCACCGATTTAAGTGAAGCAACTTCCTATCTATAAAAACCACAGAGGTGCCCCGCAAAAGTACCCGAAATGGGACACCCTGTATCCGATAACAAAAGCTTTCTCTCCTAGCAAAAGTTTATCCAAGACGAAGCGAGGGCTGCGATAGTCGACGTCATTATCCGAACGGAGGAAACGGCCATTTTAAATCAGCTAAAACGAATGGAACGGGAAAATAAGGAAACGGAGGAAGGCGTGAACTACGAAGACGAAATCGGGGACGTACTAGGGACGTATAACGGTCGAAATAACGCATAGATTCTATACTTACTGCGGGCTTTTATTGATTCATTACTATTTTACATAGTTCTGTACACTTAATGTTGCCGATTCCTTTACAGAAAGTGGCACTAAATTAAAACACACAATTTTGAAAAAATATTCTTGGCATTGTGATCGTGTTCAGAAAACTAGTTTGTAAATTACTGTGCCCTATTAAAAGCAACGACCGTTAATAACAATATATTGGTTCTGTATATGGTTATGTACTTGATAAAACAATGTAATATATCGAAATAATTTACAGTAAATATGCGCTTTGAAGAATTTATTCTCTTCGCTTTTACTTCTTACCGAGACATTCCGTTGTCCAAGAAATAAAGACGTTTTAAAATATATCATTTAATGTTACAAAAGGGCAGCAAAAATGTAAACGACACCTAAATTTGAACAATATATGGAATGTAAAAAATACGGATTGTTTAAATTTTTATGGACAAATTGGTTGGTACCGAAGCGGCGAAATTAAAAAAAAAAGAAAATAACAAAGTGCTGACATCAACATCTAGTTTATCCTAACCGCTCACAGTACCAAAAATTTTTTCGAGAATACAAAATATCAAGTAGAAAAATCGGGCGCATTCAGCTAACGACGAGGCACAGAAAAAAAAAAGAAAAGAAAAAAAGTCACATTTTTTGGTTGGTTGGTTATTTAAGTTATTCCTTTAAAAAAAAAAAAATATTTTACGCGTCCGCTGAATGCCGATTCCGATCCACTATAAGATTATATATGAATTATATATTTTTTTCAAGTAAAGCCTCAAAAAATCGCTGCATGATGTTGAATCAATTCCCCTTTTCAATTCAACCTGGAATAAAAAGGTCCCCCTTAAAAATAATTAGAAGGCGGCGAAGTAAACGGAAACGCCAACATCACACAACCTTCGGAAAACAACGGTTTGTGCATCTGATGCGCGGCTAGTGGAATAAAAAAGCGGTAAAAATGTTCAGTTTTTTTGTTCGATGAAAATTCACCCAAATCATCTATTAGGTTATTGTACATATGAAACTGAAACTACGACTATTTTTGATGGCGTAATATCGAAAAAACTTAAAAAAAAACTTTTTATCATTCACTATCCAATAACTCCGAAACTACTTAACATATCCGAATGATTTTTAAGAGCATACATAAGCGATAATAACTGAGGCGATATAATTTTCAAATTTTTTATTTTCCATTTTTTTCACGACCTGCAATATAAAAATTGTATTTTTTGTATTGAAATTTTCAGTAAGCGAGAAATTTTTTTATATGGAAAATTTCTATACTATATCCTGCGAAAGAAATGCGGTAAGACATATGAAAAAAAAAAAAAAAAAAAAAAAAAAAAAAAAAAAAAAACGCAACCTCGTATGTATTCGTGTTGTTGGGAAACTAATGGTCGTAGAAAAAGTATAGTATGCAACACGTTCGGTAAGTCATTCGTTTATTAAACACTCGCTCCGCTAGTGTCAAATAGACTCATGAGCCAAATGCCGTTTACCGCACTTGTTGCATAATATACTATTATACTATTCACAGATGCGACATTTAATAATAAAAATCCCGAAGATAAACGTCAATGAATAAATAAGGTCAGCTTGTATAAATGAAGATGTAATTAAAATTAAGTTGAAGCGAATTGGCGCAATTCATTCGATTTTTATGATGTTCCCAAACAACTAACATATGCACAGGAAAAGTAGCCACGAAAGAAATTGAACAAAATCTATCCAATTATTTACAAACAGCCTATCAAAAAAAACCACGAACATCCTCGAAAGGTCTGTTGAAAGTCCTTGGAGGCCCATAAAAAGGGACAAAATAATCACTTTTAAAAATCACTAAAAAAAATGGTTGTAAAATGAAGTTACATCCAATTTTTAAATTATTGATGGTACGATACTCATTTGAGAACTGAAACCTACTTCTTCTATGACATTCAACGACTTAGGACAAATATGTCTACAATTTGAAAGATATGCGTATCTTGTCAACTCACGACATGGTCGAAAGTTTGGGAGAAGCAGTTTAAAAAAATATTTTGGCGATACATTGTCTCACGGGATATGACACAACCACTGCATTTTTCAAAATTGACCTTTGATGTACTAGCCCAGAATTTAAGACATCAAAAGAACTGTACAATTTTCCGATTTTTATATATGTTACTCTTGCATAAAAATAAGAAAAATGACATTTCAAATTCAAACAAACCTGCGATGGAACTGCCACCAACTGACAACACTTAAAAAGGTATAAAACATTATGACACGCGGGTATATGTTTAACACTATGTTTTTTTTTAACTATTTTAGTTTTAGTTTTAGCTACAAGTAATAAGATAATGACATTGATTACATAAGGCAAAGGACTGTAAGCGACTGTTTAATGGTTGCTATGGTAACCGCGTAATGTAAGTTTACACTTTCTTATGCAATAGCGAAGTCACCTTGACAACATGGTATTTTGGGATGGAGAGAAAAGAATTGGAAATTATGCAAAACTAACCAAAACTATTTTAAATGAACATAATAACTGAGAATTTGAAATTCCAGCCATATACAAATTTTGATAACCCAAATAAATCTGAATATATAATAATATATTTTCGATGCAAGATCCACATAAAATCAGAAACATTCTGATGTAACCTGAAACAGCAATAAATGTAAATCGCAAGGCTTGACGTGCTATGAATAATGTAATTGCAAATCCTGTAACAATAAACACATAAAAGTATGGAATCTTTGGATGAAGATTTCTAAAAAATTCAGAAGTAAAACTGTTCATTAGTTCATAAAAAATCGTGTCTATACTGTTTCGATTGTCGATTTCATTTTCAGCATAGAGTATGAAAATTTTCCAAATAAAAAAGCTTCCCGATTACTGACAATTTCAATACAAAAATTTTTGAGGCCTTGCAAAACATGGAATAAAAAAATTTGAAAATGATGTCGCCTCGGTTATCATCTCTTATGTTTGCTCTTCAAGTTTTAAAAAAAATCGGATACATTGAATAGTTTCGGAGTTTCCTCGATTTTACAAAACTACGTACCACTAATAAAAATCGTATTTCCCTATTTCATGTGTACAATAACTTAACTAACGATTTCGGTCTGGTTTCATCTGGTTGTAAGTCGATTCTATTTTTCAAGAAGTAAACGACTTTAACAGACTTTTTTTCTCCACTAGATCGTATCAAGCCCGGTTCAAACGATGCAGCACTACGAGAACCGGACTCTTCGTGCCAAAATTCCACCGCATGAACCGGGCTTTGACAATTTGTCGTTCATATTCGACATACGCTACAGGAACTGTCATGCCTTACCCCCGAGCTGCTGAAAACTTAGACGGTCTTCGCGTATACATACGTATATTTATTATGAAAATACAACGCTTGAAACACTTAACATAATCAGTCGATTTTGTAAAAGTACACATTAAAAAACAATAAAAAAAATAAAGGGCAAAAGATACAGTTTAACCTTGAAAGACACATGGGTTAGCAGGTTTAAGCAATACCGGCCTGGGTGGAACGCACCAATCTTACCATAGGCTGAATCATCTTTTTTTTGAGAGGGAGGGGGGGGCGGAGTTCACTCGGACGGTACGCCGTCGGCTACAACCTTACCACGCTCCTTTTCCCCCAACTCAAACCATGCTAGATAGAAGAAAAACATTCGTTAGTCTGTGATCGGCCATAAAAGATATCCGTAGACAACAAAGAGACCGCGTACGACTTAAACAGAGGAAAAACAAATTTGGAACGGGACGTCTTGCTATGTACTTTATTTATTTAGTCCGCACGCAAACGCGGTATTTGTTTAGAGAACCGCCGCACTCGTGTGCACGCCTAAGACGCAACGCATTTTTTTTATTTAAACAAAAACGACGGGCAAAGCAATTATTACGCGGATTCTTTAGGTTTTCCGAAACAAAAAGTGGTCGATAGAGGAGAAAGCTGATCGGTTTTGTCAGAAAAAATACCACCAGAATATCGATTTTTCGGCAAAAATTGGTAGGGCATGAGTGTTACTTTCAGAGAGTTCTTTATTATTTCCTAAGCAAGACACTATAATAAGATAACGAAATTGATTAAATAAAGCAACGTAAAAACAAACTGGCTATTCATATTCCGAGACGGCAAGAAGTAAAGGAATGTAAGAGACTGTTTAATGGTTGCCATGGTAACCGCGTAAGGTGGGAGAAAATAATGACACTTGGCAATGCAAACCACTAAGTTTACACTTTACTATGCATTAGCGAAGTCACGTTTATAACATGGTATTTTGGGATGGGAAGAAAAGAATTGGAAATTGTGCAAAAATATTTTTCCCAAAAACTAAAAATTATTGTTCCGTACTACAGATTACGAAACGGCAGTTTTAAATATTTTCAAAAATAAAACCGATCTACAAAGTAATCGAGAAAAGGAAAATGCGATAACAAATACGTGTAAAAAAGAAATAGGCCAAAGATGTTACACATTTTTGCACGCCCGTTTTTAGAATCTCCTAGACGAAGGCATAATTTTAACATAATTATATAAAAAAAGGAAAGGGGAGAAAATATTTAGGCTTTAAACTTTTTATATTAGATAGGTTAGGCTTTTGTATTTTATCTAAATTATGTAGCAATTCCTTTAAAAATTTATTAACGTCATTTTCTGCTATATGTAGCAGGGGAAATTTATGATATGATATACAACTTAAGGGTTTTAGGCAGAATTTTTAATTGTTTATGTTGTGTTTTGTTCTTAATTTAAATTTGTCGTTATCTACAGGATAAGCCTGTGGAATAGTAATATATAGAAACACCTTTCCACTTTCGAAAGGTCACTGTCCAAACAAAAACCAACCGAATTGAGGTTAAAAACTCTCTAACATTGACGTAAGCGTTTCTAACGTTTAACGATAAATGCATCAAATAAATGCGTCAAGCATATTACCTCACAGGTGGTGCGGAAATGTGTGCATATTATGTAAAATATAAAATTCCTAATAGCGGAAACCCCGATATCGCGCGAACGGTGAGTAGTGAGAAAAAAAATGCCTGAACAATTTTTGTAAAGAATTGTATGATCTTTTGTCTGACGAAGAAGAAGGTTCCCAACACCAGTCTATGTCAAGAATTTAGGACACTTAATATCGTTCCAGGTTATGAGAAGGTTCTTGAGGTGGTGGTGAAACGGCAGCCGCAAAGTTATTGTGGTGTGGTTGGGCTTTCGCTCCAAACATTCACGCGAACCTGTCGTTGTTATGATGTCTGTGATGATTTCTTGAGGGCCTTGGAACATGGTGTTCCTCAGGGGACAGTTTTGGGACCATTGTTGTTTCTTATGTGTATTAACGATATTGCAGATATTTTAGATGATATTAAAGCGGTATCATTTGCGGATCACTCTATGATTTTTATTGCGGGTGAAAATGTGGATGAAATGCAAAGAAAAATGAATGCTAATCTGAAGAATGCTTTTGAATAGCTGTGCAATAATAATCTTTGTCAAAATTTTGTATTTTTGGTAAACGACATAAATTCATTAAATTAAATTTCGACGTAAACATTTATATTAACAAAAAAAAATTAATTCATCAAAAACAAATTAAATATCTGGGTGTTATATTTGACTCAAATCTGACGTTTCATACACATGCCGATTACATAATGAATGAATTTTCTAAAAAGATTAATTTTATATCTAAAATAGGGAATAATTTGTCAATTAACGCCAAAATCTTATTGTATGACAGCCTAGCTGCTTCCAATTTGCCTAATTATAAATTAGAGCAATTGCAGATTGTTCAAAATAGTTACCTATTTCAGAGATCCTCTTACAATACAAGAAATTGTGGCAACTTCATGTTGAGAGAATGTTATCCCAGTCATGTACAAAACTCCATAATACTTTTAAGACGCCATGTATTGTCCAAATTCGGATTTGTGTGCGCTTAGCTTTTGGTTTCCGTTTAACTGGAATTTTATATTTTATATAAATATACAAAAAAATATGAATAAAATTTTTTGCACAAGTCGAATCGAAGGGGATTTTTAACATTTCACGTATAATGGTTTCTTTAACGTCCCAGCCAATTTTCAGCTCTATGCGAATTTTGCCTAAGTATTCTTGTTGCTGGTTTCAAATTGGCATCGTTTTGACATAACCTATCAAATTTCTCCATTCGACGTTGAAATTCTTCGCTGCGATGGCAAAATCGATATCCCGGTGATACTCGTGTCACAAGAAAATCTCTCATTGAACTGAGGTAGCTTTTACTTGATGAAAATCCATTTATCAAAATAAATCAAAACTAAAAGTTTTGATTTTCACGAAATTATATACTTTTACAAGACAATTGTTTCGACAATCAAATGTCATTTGATAAAGGCACGGTGTTGTCGAAACAAATGTCATGTGAAAATATATAATTTAGTGAAAATCTGAACTTTTAGTTTTTATTTATTTTGAGAAAAGTGTCGACGCGCTCCTTATATTGTCTACGGCGGTCTCCTTGAATCGATAAAAAAAGAAAAAAGCGAACACGTACGGAAGGAAACGTTATTGTTTGAGCCGTTTAACCGTTTCTCTTTGTAAGTAATGTTAAACATACCTTCAGGACGAGAGGGGGCGCTTAATTTTCTTCTTCGAACGCAACCGGTGGGGCGCCGATAAAATACGCAATAGTGCGGGGTCCGCAAAGCTTCGCAAAGGCCACTTATCTTGTACGGTCTGCGTTATTCCGCACAAACGTCCGATACAAGTGCTCTCGGTGCAAGTGGACTTCGCACGATAGTTAACGAAAAGTGGACGTCGACGCTCCTGCCGAACGCAGACCGGAAAAATTCGGTTTACCGATAGGATCCGAGCCACCGTATAGCACACTCGACCTTGCCCGGATTCAGAGCAATTACATAAAGGGTGTTTGGACGAACATAACCTCAAAATACAATACAAACAATATTTTGAGGTTATGTTCGTCCAAACCCTCCTTGTGCAACTACTATTCAGTTTTGCGGCGTGGCAATTTCAGCCACAAAAAGCAAATCTTAAATACTTAAAGTATCCCTCTTCTAAAAAACTTGCAATAATAAAATCACTGCAATTAACTGCAATAAAAAATCTGTATAAGAGAAAGGTTGATTTTGCAAAACATCCCGAAAATTGTTATAAATGACCTGTATTATAAACCGCAGTTATCTATATATACTTTTAACGTTCATGTCCTTTCTTCTGGTTAGTCGATATTTTATACCTATCACAAGGGAATCGTTAAAAAAGGATTAAATTAAGTGGCTTCTCTTCTCTTTCATTTCATTTACTTAGAAGACGACATTGAAGTCTTCTGCGACTCTGCAAAAATTTTGTCATTTTTGGATTTGTCGGTTTTATTATTGACAAAATGCATGCAAAATATTCAAGAAAAATTAAAAATACATTTCCTACAAGATGACACTTCTATTTGAATGTGACCTGACTGGTAGCCATTTTCTTCTCTAGAAAACACGAACCTCGTTTGTTTTATTGGGAACAAATTCGTTAAAAAGTTTTTGTTTAATCTTTAGTACTATAATCATAAATTTTGGTATATAGTAACTTTAGTTTTCCGGAAACATTTGATTTATTTATAATTTTAGAAGAAAAATATTTCGTGTTGAATATTAAAATGGTATTTACCCAGTTTGCAAATGGGCCCTGTTATGCAAAAAGCTTCCTGTATATGAAAAAAATTAGATAAACGGGTAATCTGCTCAATAATTAATACCTCTTTATTCCCCATGTCAATGTCGACTCAAGACCTTGAAAATGTTTATTCTTAAAAAAAAAAACGGAATAAAAATACATAGATTTTATCATAAAACTTTTAACCCACCTGGTTGACGCACTAGGAATCAAGAAGTTTTGTAAATAGCAACATTTAAAGTTAGCCAATGGAGCTCGGACACTGCGCAAAAAAGATTTTGAAAAAGCTAAAGCCAATGATCTTCAAAAAAAAAAAACCTTTACCATGAATACCCACAAATATTCTGTTCTATAAAAGGCAGCTCTGGGTATATAATGCTGGAATTCACAGTGGTAAAGCAGACCCTGGATATTTGTACGTTTGGCTCGAAGAAGCTGGCCGAGGGTCTCAAGAAGTGGAATCATGTATATTAAAGCACAGTCAATCATACATTTCCTTAGAAGTGAAACATCTTATTCTGTCAACATGTCAATATTAATGATTTGAGGGTTAACATAATATGGCGCAAATAAAGTGACTAGTCTGGTTTTTTCCCCGCACCCTTCCTATTACGAGTAGAGTGGTAAGAGTGCATTTAAGCAAATTTTATTTCAGAACAGGGTCTAGTGTGATGTGCGACTGCTCGGAGACGGGCAAACCGTAATCCACCGTGTGTGCGCAGTAGTCTCGACCTTACGGTACATGTATGTCGGCGTTCCGCTTTACAACGGTCAAAGGCTCGCAGGTCACGCCGGTGGTCGCAAGGGCGCAAAACTTTGCGAAACCGCTCGATGTGCTGACGTTTCTTCTATCCGCTTTCAGTAAATATTGGCAGACGAAATTTTATGATGGGTCGCTAGGGGGCGTAAGCGGCGAATCGACAACGACGTTGTGAAGGTAAAATCAAAATTGCAATTCGTTTTGGGCGGTCGTTACGGTTCATGGTGTTTTTTAAAGAACCGAATTTTCGAGCATCACCGCCACCTATTAGTAACATGTGTAATTCTCAAGGATTTTTTCTTTGCAGCTCGTATTCTTGCCTAGTTTAATATTTTCCTATCATGTAATTAACTGATTAATAGGGGCTAGCGAGTTGCAAGTGAAATTATAGTATTATTTCGAAGAAGTAAAAATTTCTGAAAACTACGAGGTTAGCGCCAAAATTTCCCGGCCTGACATAGATGCTGCTCCAGTACCACGATAAAACTTTGTCTTCTTTTAAATATATATCTTAGTAGGCTGCGAAAAAAAAATTAAAGTCTTGTGTCAAACAGTTTTTTATTGACAGCATTTTAAATAAGACGTGTCCGAAAAAATGTCGCAAATAACGCAAATTGAGTATAGAGCAGTCATAAAGTTTTTAACAAAAGAAGGGTCACCACCCAAAATTATTAAAGAAAGGCTAGATGGTGGGTACGGCCAAAGTTCTCCTTCGTATTCTGTAGAGAAAAAATGGGCAAAACGTTTTCGAACGGGGCGGGAGTCCCTTGAAGATAATTCAAGAACTGGTCGACCAGTGGAGGTCATAACGGAAGATATTGTTGCGATTGTGGAAGAGGTGGTTAAGGGGGATTATATTGAAAAATAATAAAAAATTGTTACTCTACTTTGTTTTTTTCATATTCAGGCCGGGAAATTTTGGCGCCGCCCTCGTAATTGATAACCGATTTCAAATCCCATGATTTTAAGGTTATATCTAAATTCCAAATAACAAAGCAAAAAGATAATTTTGTCACGTTCCCCTAAAAAAAGTTTAGAATAATCGAAATGGGTAATGCAGATACCTAGATATATGCACCTAGAATATCTTATTCCGAACGCACTTTATAATTAAGTCCACTCGTTTTTGACAAATCGGCAAAATTTGGAAATTTTTATATAATTTCAAAGACTGCCCCGAATGACAAACACATGTTTGTGACTGACATATTAGTAAACGACGTTGATGGTTGAATTATTGTCCAAGTCATTATTCGTAAAATGGTTTTTCGCGAATTTAGCATCCGTGAAAGGAGTGATATGCTATCTAAATAATGAAAGTGCTACCGCAGCTAGACTTCAGCATATTAGACTTTATCTAAAACGCCGAACTCCTTCAAAACAGATATTTCCACAGCTGGCAAAGAAATTTGCATAAAACGGTAACGTATTAAATGCTAAAAATGTATGCCGGAATAACAATGTTTTAAATGAAGAAAATAAGATCAACATTTGAATTCTATGAAGTACATCCAGTTTTCTGTATTGCTAGAGTATACGAAGAGACAGGTATTTCTCAGAGATCAATCCACTCAATTTTGAAAGAATATATAACTTAAAAACTAAGTGCAGAACAATGTTAAAGGGGGATGCAGTTAGGTTTGGAGTTTTTAAATAGACATAATGAGAATAATAATTTTTTGAAAAACATTTCATGGACTGGTGAAAGTTCGTTCACTACAAGAAAGGGTTGTAATAGACAAAATACAATAATAAATAATCCTAAACAAATACATGAAATAAAAACCCGGGGGTACCAATCAATTAATGTATGGTGCGGTGTCATAGATGGCCATATTTTGGGTCCGATATTTATAGATCAAAAGTTAACTGGAGATCATTATTTGCAAGACTTAGGGCACCAAATAGAACAATATATAGAAGATTCACCCCTACATATATCAGCGGTAATTATATGGCAGCAAGACGGTGCCCCTCCTGACAATGTTGTGCAAATTAAAAATTTTCTTAACATGGAATATCCCAGTGGTTGGATAGGGAATGGCGGAACTATGGTTTGACAAGCCCACAGAACCGACTTAACTTTAATGGATAGAGATAATCCGGAAAAGCTACTAAATGCAAGAGATCATACAAGAAAATTCAGGAAAATGGTGGTCACATACAGCAGTATTTAGAATAGTTAGCGCGTCTTGTTATTTTTAGTTCTATTTTAATTTAAAAATAATTATTGTTCTTGGAGCAAATCACGGCACTCTTTGGAATTATATAAAAATTTACTATTTTTGCCGATTTTTCAAAAACGAGTGAACTAAAATATAAAGTGTGTTACATATTTGTAATCGGAATTAGAGATTCTGTTAAACACATATATAATATACAAGGTGTTCCATTTAAATTGATAGTGTTTTGTTTTATACGTCACTTGGGAAAAAATTGGCTACTAACCCTACATTTTGTTTTTTTATTTACCTTGATATTTTTAAAAACAAAACAGTTACCGCCAGTTTAAAATGTTATCAAAATAAATTGAACGCACGGTACATCCTTTGGGTATCGCTTTTATTCGCGATGGCGGTTTCATTTATTTATCGGTACTTTTTCCTTCTCGCTAGTCGAGCACAGTGCTTCCCAAATTGACTGTCTGCTATTATCTATTATTGGACTACGTTTTATGAGAAATTTAATAGCGCAACTATAGTAGGCACGATTTGTGATGACAGAATAAAATAGATTGCTTCCACTTATACTTCAACAGACATTGTTCCGTCCTAATAAATGTATATCTGATCAATGCAAGACAGCCGTCACTAACGATCACGATTCTATTACTTGGGAGTAAGAGAGACAGAATCAGTTGTACTTGGGTATTTATTAATTTAACTAGTAGGTCCATACTCAGAGATGGATTAATGTATTTTCCATATAATACATCAGGGTGTGCCTTACCTTAATGATATGCGAATATTTAAGTATGTGAAACTTTATGAAAAAATAAAAATTAAAACAACACCAAAAAAAATCGGAAAGCTAAAAGAAAAGTTAGAATTAAATTTTATTATTTTGGCCGACTAAAATAAAAATTCTAAAAAAATATTATAACAGGATATGTAGTTATCTCAACTTGCAAATTCAAGAAATTGGGCCAATAAATTTCTCGAAAAAAAAAAAAAAAAAGTTATAACTTGTGCCTTTAATATACCCCTAGATGGGGACCAAACACTGTCATCCGAAAACCGAAACCCAAAATTGCCGGTCGGAAAAAAAAATCCGCTGAAATGGGGACACGTTTTTATTTAATCTGTCGGATCCAAAAAACAGTATGAGCGCGGGGACTTCGACTTAACATAAAAACTACCAAAAAACGCCGTCGGGCAGAAAACTTAAAATACAATGCGTAAACTACAACAGTACGCTGATCAAAAGACAAATGAAGAAACAAAAAAATAATGCATGACCAAATGAACAACAGAGGTTTGGTTAATATTGCCAAGGTTGGGCCGCTAATTTAAGGGGGGCGTAAGCGCAGTGTGATTTGTTTCACCACGCAAAGGTAGGTTCAATTTTGTTAAAGTGTAACCTATACTTTGTTCCATGGAATATTGGCTGTTCTTTGATTCTGTTATATATTTAAAGATAAACTTGAAGAATTGTAGAAAAAGAGATCAAAGAATGGCATGACGAAAATGGCACCTACAAAGCAAGACCAATGCCAAAGAGATACTTCAGTATAGTTTATGAACTATCATCATTGCTAAGATTATATTGTTGAAATTAAGAGCCATGTCAATTGTGTTTAATGATAAACTTGAACAATTGCAAAAAACGGTGACATGAAAAAAGGCCAATGCCAAAGAGATACTTTAGTTTAATTATATGCTATCATCATTGCAAGATTAACTTGAAGAATTGCAGAAAAAGAGATCAAAGAATGGCCTGACGAAAATGGTACCTACAAAGCAAAACCCATGCCAAAGAGATACTTCCGTATAGTTTATGAACGATCATCATTGCTAAGATTGTATTCTTGAAATTAAAAGCCAGGTCAATTTTGTTTAGAGATAAATTTGAACAGTTGCAAGAAACGGTGACGCGAAAAAGAACAATGCTAAGATTATATTGTTCGACGCGTGTGTCTGAAGATAAACTTGAAGGATTGCAGAAAAAGGAATCAAAGAACGGCAGCAATATACCGGGGAGCAAACTAAATGTTATACTTTAAGGCCATCCCTTAAGCGCTTCAATTTCGTGCCGGATTCCGTTAACCACATCATTATTAACCGGTTTAGTAGCGTCTTCCAGGTGTCATATCTCGGTGACCCGGGTCTGCGCCTCCGCTCGTGTAACTACAATAACAAAAACGGAACATGTCAGTGTCGCAGATCCGAAACGCCACGCCGACGCGTGTGCTGCACGCATTCAAACGAAACGCCGCGCTTTGACGCTAAAATCGAAACATACACACACACGCACGCACACCCACACAAAAGGGCGTGCGAACTCGACTGAAGGCTCGCACCGGCGTGTACGTCGTCTTTCCGAGGAAATTCGAGCGTGTTCCGCCACGTCACGCTTGCACAATTATTGACACGTGTGTTTTAAATAATAAAAAAAAAACATCATTACACCAATTAAAGCACCTCAGGCCGGATTATCTATTACAATTAATATCTGTAAACGTTTGCGTAGTTCTCAACTCACCCTCTTTGTTGCGGTAACGGGGGATAAGCCGAATCGTAAGCGCCGCGGACTCCGCCCCCTGTTGCGTAGGCCGCGTTCGCAGCGTACGACGGATCGGCCGCGGCGGCGCCGTAATCGTCTCTGGTCGCGTAGCCGACCGGGCCGGTAGGAGGGGCCGCGGCTGCGTAACCGGCTCCGTAAGCGGCTTGTGCCGGAGGCGCGGCAGTACTGTATCCCGCGGACGGGCCGTAATTGGCGGCAGCCGTAGCCGTAGCCGTACCGTAGCCGTTTGCGCCCGCTCCGTATCTTGTCGTGTCGTATCCGGCAGCCCTATTTTATAAAAATAAAATAATTTGTAAGTTGTCAATATGAGTTTTCGAAGTAAACATATGATTTTTTATGTTTTAAGTATTTTACAGCAACTTAACCACACACTTTCGCAGCACCGTGATAAAACCCATCCCAACAGATGTTTATTCTGCATTAAGTAGGTCTGCCTGAGATGGACCGTAGCGAATATTTATAAAAACTTGAAATTTTTATTTAAAAAGTAAATGATTAAACATTCATGCTGCGTGGTATTTTCGAATAAGTAGAAGCGTTTATTTTAACATCAGGTGATATTTATCGTCTTTAAGAGTTTAATTTAAATTGCAATATGTTCGTGTATATTACGCAGGTATTTGACTGTGATCCTTCCAACTTTTTTATATACCGGATTCTCTGTACTCTATTTATCTCACAGTCAAGTTTGAAAATAATCATTTTTGTCTTGTGTGCCTGTCGATTATTGTTGTATTTTTATGTTCTCTATCTTCGATTCTTTTTTAAGACTATAGATTATATTCGCGGTAGATGAAAGTACGTCATAAGAATACAGATAGATATTTATTAGAATATTGCAAGTAAACATTTTTTGAAGGTTCCTGTTTTTTAACACTTTAAAATGTCGAAACCGTGGAATGAAGCAGTTGTTCCCCTGTTAGAAGATATGGAAAACAACGCAGAATTTGAAGACGAAGTGGAGATTGTAGTGCAATCTAATGACGATTTAGAAAAGGAACTACCTCAGCAAATAAAAAAAGTATGGATCCATTTGTCTTCAGATGCTAAAGATGTTTTGAATGTTTACAATTTTATAAGAAATTCTGAAGGGGAAGTGAAATGACCAAAGTTCTGAAGTCAACTGTAAGAAAAATTGTTGCAAGTGGGAGAAGATGCTGGTATTTCGCGCGAAATATTTGAGGACTGATTGCCAAAACTATCACCAAATACTGTTGTTGTTTTGGATGATGAATCATATCATTTAGCCTCAATTAGAAAAATTCCAAATGCTTTGTCAAATACAGAAGAAATTAAAGAATTTCTGTACGAAAATGATTTATATTTTGAAGAGAGCTATACGAAAAAAACAACTTCGGGAATTATTAAATATAAGACATTTTAATAAAGATTACATAATCGATTCGATAGCATACCAAAATCGGACATGAAATATTGAGATTTATCCCCACTGAGATGATTTGGTCCGAGTTGAAAGCCCATATAAGAAGAAATAACACTGCACCAAAATTTAGTGATTAGTATCATAAACGTAATTCGGCAAGAGGTAACTAAAATATCAGAACAAAGCTGGTCTAACTGTGAAAAACCAAAAATAAAAGAAAATACTTATCGAGAACGATTAGCGACAGAGTTGATCATTAAATTAGGTGGCGACAGTAGCGATAGTGACGATTTTTTAAGCGACTAATACTTTACTATTATATTTTGTAAAAATTTGTATAAGAAATGTAATGAAATAAGACGTAATAAATTGTTACTTTGTATTAATTTGTTTATGTACATGTTTCAAGAATTGAAAACATACATATATCCCGCTTGTTAGTGTAGGTAGATAAATTCCTAAGCCGGTCCTGGAATGGTTACGGGTAAAAGTCTGCTGGGCAGGGTGTTTTATAAGAGGCTGCGGTTTTGGAGTAATAAACAGCGGGTAAAAGCACTATATTTGTGGTCGAACTATAATAAACAGTCTATGCATACACAAACAATCTAAAATTTAGAGGTCATGTAGCTCTCAAAGTTGTATTAAAAAAAATATTTATAGTTGTAATAGTTTTTTTTTTAAATTAAAACGGGGAACAGTTGTTTTTAAGAGTTGTCGGTATTTTGTTATATAATTTAATAACTATGACGCTAATGAACGATACAGTATTGTTTACACAATGATTCGGAACACACAGATCATTTCCACGTCTGGTGGTATCATACACGTGAAAGTCGTGAAAATCGGAATTCTTTATTTTTTTATTTTCATGGACATACATTATGCACTGATAGATGAAAATTGAAGAGAGAGTATTTTTATTTATTTTTTATTTTTTAAAATAGTGGCTTACAGTGGTCCTTATTTGGTGCACAACACAACAATCTTTTTTTGAATTTTGAAGATTCTTTCTGCCTCTGAAGATACTGCCTACAGCATATATGATATCACGTTAATAAAGTTGCTAAAATAAAACGCTAAGCCGTCTCAAAAGTTCTAGATTGAATAAGTTTTCGAATCGGAAACGTAACTTTGTTTCATCTCCCGGTCAGCATACCTATATGCACGTGCCAGTTAAGCCTACTATTTATGTACACACCCAGAAGTTTAACGTTGTGAGAACTAACGTCAGGTGCGCCTGAAAAAAGGCAACATCTCGATTTATTTTCATTCAATTTAAGACGATTCAAACGAAACCACTCTTCTGCATCAACAATCGCCTGAGTACTTACAGATACTGCGTCACACGCGTCAACATTTTAAAACATTAAGATCGATGCGGAGACCTGAATACAATTGTCAAACGTGGCAAGTGATTAGCAAAGAGAATAAATATCAATGCTGTTGATGAATAGGCCGAAAGGCAGTGCGTCCATATAAGACCCTTGAGGCTAGTGTTGGGACAGGTCAAGTGACCATTTCTTAATTGACTGGTCAAATTTGATCAAAATGTTTGAAATAACAATTGTAGAGTGTTATCTATCATTATTTCATAATAACATGCATTTTATAACAATTTATTATTCGTTTGTGATATCCAATTGACCTATGACCCTCTTCAAGGAATACCCGAATACGATACTTTGGCGATTTAGGGAATCCCAATAAAAATAGACTCTATTTGGTTCTCAGAATTTTAAAAATATTTTGGAATTTGGAATCCTTTTTGATATTCCATTGAAATTATTATAACACAGATAAAATTCTCTTTTATTATACAATAAAGAATTGAAATAAATTTTAAAAATTTCTTACATTGGTGGTTTCGGACCCGCATCCCGTCTGCTGAATAAATCCGCAGCACCTCTGTTGGCCCCCGCGTCCATAGCAGGAGGTCTTGGGGGAGCCGGCGGACCTGCGGCCCTTCTATCATCATACGGAATGGCCCTTCTGGCATCGTAACCGTCATCGTAGCCGGTACCATATCCGGCCGCTGCGCCATAGCCCATATCGGCGCTCTCACCGTAACCTCTTTCCGGCGGATATCCACCGACGCTCCGTGCGGCAGGTGGCGCTCCATACGCTCTCTCGTAACCGGTTCTTGGCGGCGGCGGTCCGCCATAACGGTCTATATTTGCATAATAAATTGCATAAAATTTAATTTTAATGAGTATTTAGTAAGATTAAACTAGTGAGACTACCCTAATAAGATCAAATCTCAAAAAAATATGTTTTAAAAGTTATTTTAGATTTCCCAACAGTTCTGGATTTTTCGGCATTGCCCTTGGTATAATACGACCAAAAATATAGTCCACTTATTGCTTTGACGAAAGTATTTTACCGTACCCAAGAAATGTTTATTTCGTTTTAAGTAGGTTTGGCCTGAGATGCTGTTTTCACTGTAAAGTTCAGAAGGTAGGGTAAGTACCTATACTCTATTTATTTTACAGGTAAGTTTGACAATCATTTTTGTCTTGTGTGCCTGTTGACGAACAACATTCTTCTTCTTGTATTCTTGTGTCTTCTACATAGTTCAATTCTTCATTAATACTATAGATCATATTCGCAGTAGATAAAGGTACGTCATGAGAATACAAATAAATATTTATTAGATTCTTACAATTAAACATTTCTTGAAGGTTCCTGTTTTTTAAAAAACAAGCGACATGACCAAAATTTCGAAGTCAACTGTAAGTGCTAATGGAATCTCGAAGAATTACACAGTGGAGCGTGAAATATTTAGATCCAATTGAAAAATTTGGCGGTTGGACACTCACACATAGTAAAAAAAGGATGGTGCGATAACAGTAACAAGAGTGTACTAGACGTGCCGCCTTCACATGGAAAACGCATAATAATTCTTCATGATGGGTCCAAAAATGGTTGGGTGGAAGAAGCCTTACTTTTGTTTGCCAAAAAAGTGTAGATTACCATGAAAAGAAACATGACAGTGGAAATATTTGAGGACTGGTTTCAAAAGAAACTGTTGCCCAAACTATCGCCAAATAATGTTATTGTGTTGCACAATACCTAGTATCATTCAGTCCAAATTAGAAAAATTCCAAATAATTTTTCATATAAAGAAGAAATTAAAGAATTTCTGTATGAAAATGATTTATACTTTGCAGAGAGGAACACGAAAAAAAACTAGTTCTGGAATTACTAAGAACAAAACATTTTAATAAAAACTACAAAATCAATTCGATAGCACAACAAAACAGACATGAAATCTTGAAATTACCCCTGTATCATTGTATATTTAACCCCATTGAGATGATTTGGTCTGAATTGAAAGCGCATATAAAAAGAAATAACACTGCACCAAAATTTAGTGATATTACCATAAACATAATTCTGCAAGAGGTAGCTAAAATATAAGTACAAAGCTGGTCTAACTGTAAAAAACCAAGAATAAAAGAAGAAAATATTTATCGAGAACAATTAGTGGGAGAGTTGATCATTGAACTAGTTGACGACAGTGGTAATGGTGACTATTTGTTAAGTGACTGATACTGTATTATTATATTTAATATTTTGTATATTAATAATGAGACAATGTAGAAACATAATAAAAAAGATCATAATAAATAATGGTTACTTTTTTTTGCGGTTTTGGTGTAATAAACAGTAGGCAAAGTTAATGATGGAGTCGGTTGTAATAACACTATATTTCTGGTTGAAGTATGCCTGAGACACCACTGGATAAAACTACCTACAAGAATTTTTTTTTTAATTGGCTCTTGTATATAGAAAAACAGTTAGCAGCTGCTGAGTTTGCTGAAACCTTTGAAGATATGAAATAATTTATACTGATCCTGATTCATTAACTAAAAAATTAAAATAAAAAATTCGTTTTTTTTATATAGGATAATATAAAATATTCAGATTACCTTCACCACCTCCAAATCGATCGTATTGTGGGTACTCCCGAGCTACACCATAAGCACCTGGTGCTCCTCGAGGTGGACCCCTAAATTCTCTTCCACCCCTTGAATAGGGGCCTCCGCGATCTCTACCACCACGTGCAGGTCCAACGCCTCCACCATTACTACCACGTCTGGGTTTAACACGTCCTTTTTCGACAGAAATTCTACCACCCATAAATTCTGTCCCATTGAGTTCAGTGATGGCTTTCATTGCCAATTCAGCATCTTCGAGATGTAGAAAACCACATCTATTTGATATGTCACACTCGGCAATCGCACCGTAAGGGGCGAACAGTTTGCGTAAGTCTTCCGGAGTGACGCCCGCGGGCAAGCTTCCCACAAAAACCTTTGTGGTTGTTTCCGACCTTCCTCGAGTCTATCCGGAAACGCGAAAAGTGAACAAAACGATACTAACTTGTTTCCAAACTACAAACTTACCATGTTTGAAATTTTTGCACGAACTATCAACACCAAAACAACCACCGATCTGCGTTTTCCTCGGTCAAATAAAGTAAAATGGCGATAATCGCAAGCCAAAGAGTCGACGACAGCTTCAATAGCGTCGCCCAAATACGACAACCGCACAAACGAAAATCCCTAAACCGGAGGGAGCAGACCAACGGAAGAAAGGGACGCTCTCCTATTTATCATTTGTGTTACAAAGACGTTTTCAGCCGCGAATGTGCTGAGTCAAAATTTTTAATAATACTTTCAGTTTATGTTGAAAGTTCCAAAGTAAAAATTTTATAGTTAATCAAATTGTGAAAATGGTGACTTTTTCCCTTGGTTGGCAATGATGATCGTGAGAAAAACAGGACCGGCACCAAAAATAATAGGCCCTTGGATCGATTGATTTTTAAATATCCTTAACGTTGGACGGCGATTTATGGTCATCTCCGGTATCATTGGGAACTTGCGGTGCAATGTTAATTGAAACAAATTGATAGTTAATATAAAATGTATATAAATAAAAAAGCAATATAACGAAATTGCCAGCTTTAATGCTTGCGCTGTTTTGTTCTCGTCAAATATTTCCAGCCATTAATCTAACTTCGCGCAACTCGGATCCAATGTCTTGATTTTTTTTAACGCGGCAATATAAAAACTCGTAAGTTCCGCGTCAACATATTCCAGACACGTTTGAGAAAAAGCGCTTGGGTAAGCGCAGACGGGGATTTGCGGCCCTGTACACGACCTCGCCACTCTCAGCGTCGCGTTGGCGGTATGCAACCAGTAATTTATCCTATCCAGGCACGGGCACTTCCAAGGATTGTTGTCGATCGTTATATCTTTGACGGACAGTTTTTTTAGTACCTCGTTCGGCAAGAAATTCAAATGGTTCGCGTCGATCAAAAACGACCGCACCCTCAACTCGTTCGGAAATATATTCTCCGGTATGGAAGTCAAGCGATTGTGCCTCAATCCCAAATAAACCAAGCTCGTTATACCTCTGAAGGCTTGCTCTTGTATTACGGATATTTCGTTGAAATCGAAATAGATCTGTTTGAGTTTCCTCAAACTAGCGAACGCTTTGCGCGGCAACATCCTGATCCTGTTGTTTTGAAAGTCCATTATTTCCAACGCGGTCGTGTTCGTAAACCATTCCCTGTTCCAGTGGTCCAGTTGGTTATTGCTCGCGTGGATCCTCTTCAGAGACGCCAAGTTCGCGAACGATTGATCCTCGACGACGTCTATCCGATTGTTCTGTATGTTCAGGTGCTGCAGTTCGGGTATCTTATCAAACAAACCCCTCGGTATTTCTTTGACGTTGCCGTACGCAAACTGGACGTTTTTGAGACGCGGGACGTTTCTGAAAGCGGCCGGTTTCACCTCGTCCATTTTGCACCCCCAGAAGGAGACCGTGTCGAGCTTGACCATGTTCCTCACCGAATCGGCTTCCAAAATTGGAATCGTTTGTTCCCGGATATAAACCTGCGTTAGCGTTTTGCCATCGAACGCGATTCGCTCGACGCATCCTTGCAGGGTGACGTTGAAATCCGTGCCGGTATCGTCTTTCGCGAGAGCCACGATGTCCTTCAAGGACGTACATTTCTTTAAACTTCCGCGATCCGCGTAGTACGTTAAAACGATCGTCAACAAACACAGGCGACGGTTTAACATTATCGCGGTGAACTCGTGAACTGCAAATCGCGACGTTTCTTGTTTATAAATAAGATCGCGAATGCTGTAGGACGGGTTGCTGCACGGAAGGCGGACCCCATAATAAGAAATTAGGGGATTTACGGCACATTACGTCCGCCACTGCGTGGAATATCAGCGTGGGGAAATTTATGAAATAACGCGAGCATTTTTATAACTTAAGCCCGGCAGAAACGTACGCGATTTCTGTATATATTTCTGCATGTAGGAAATTCGGCAGATAAAATTGGCATTTGTACGCAAAGCGTTTGTTTTCGTCCAATTTTTAACCTTTATGAAGAAAGTAAATGAATAATAGTGAGGTGACCGACAATTTTTTGTCCAAAAGTATTTCATTGGTGAAAAAAACAAAAAAGAAAAAACTATAACAAAATGCGTTAAAAACATATTTAGGAGTGTTTTTTGTTTTGCTAAATTTTGCATATTAAATTTGACTCTTAAGACGGCCGATTATGTTTATAATAATCATTCCCTAGTGAAAATACCCCTTCAACACCGGCATTAGTACCTGGATAACATAAGGAAATTTCTATTAAAACTTTTAAATTCTCATTCTCATTCTATTCTAAAATACCGAAAGATTTCCACCCATTTTTTGTCAAGTTTTGTTTTCTTATCGTTCCATTTCTTCAATTTTTCTTCATTTAAATATAAATTTACTCTTGGAATTTCTTCAAAGAGATCATTGTCATTAATAACAATATCTTTTACTTCCTTCATTACAAATTCGCCTACTGAAGAAAATTTAATGCTCTAAAGTTTTTTGTTGATTCCGGGATTGGAATCTTCCAAAACGGTCAGTTTATCTTTGAGGTCTGTAGTATCTATCTATCTCTCCAGATACATAATACGGCCTCTCAGTTGTGCCGGAAACGGCAGACATATGTGCGCGCGAAATTCAAATCACTGTCACACTGGTTTCTGGTGTTTGCCTTGTCGTCTGACGTGCCGGAAACGGCAAGCAATGTGCGCGCGTCAATTCAAATCACTGTAAAATTAATTTGAAGTATTTAATTCATAACAGTGAAATGAAATATTCTAAAAAAATGTTTAAGAAACGCAAATGAGTATAAAATTATACAAATGAGTACTTTCAGAGTACAAAATTTGAAAGGAGTACGGTTTGCGAAAAAAGAGTACAAAACTTAGTAAATGTGTAGATATTGTCTGGTCACTTTAATAATAGTAATAATAATAAGCAAATTTATTTCAGCAGGGTTACAGTCAATTATAGAAAATATGTAAATAAGAGAATAATACTGAAAATACACTACAAAATACAAGGGAGCTAATTACTCACACCCGTGCTCTAAGCAGTTATAAGCTCCGCGCATGAAGCAAAAAACAGTCGACAATCTTACGAAGTGTATCATTACCACACAAACAAAATCGGCGACTGATATAAAACATTTGTTCTATGTGTAGATAAATGCGTGGCGAAATTTATAGAATAAAGCGAGAATTTTTATACGTGAGCCAGGTAGAAACGACGGAATTTATATATATATTTCTGCGGGTGGGAAATTCGGAAATAAAATTGTAAGCCATTTTTCCAGAATTTGTACGCAAAGCGTTTGTTTTCATTCAATTCTTAACCTCTATGAAGAAAGTAAATGAATAATAGTAAGGTGATATTTGTCCAACTTTTTTGTACACTTTGCGAGTATTTCATAAGTGAAAAAAAAAAAGAAAAAACGATAACAACTTTTTCTTTTAAAAACATGTTCGTCTAATAATGTAGACGCATCCGCACAACTTTCCCTAGTGAAAATACTCCAATTAAATTTTCATGTGGAATATGTTCTATCTTTAAAATGCCATCTTTTGTCGAGTTTTATTTTCTCATAGTTCCATCTCTTCAATTTTTTTTCATTTATATATAAATTTACTCTTCGAAATTCTTTAAAGAGAACATTGCCATTAATAACAATATCTTTTGCTTCCTTCATTACAAATTCGACTGCCGAAGAAACTTCTTTCCATTCAATTTTACTATTTAGAAGAGTCCATTTGAAACAATTTAATGCTCTAAAGTTCACTTTCCATTCTTCGATATTCATAGCAAATTTTATTACAAAAATTAACTTCTATTAAAAATTCATTTTTTATTCCGGGATTGGTACCTTCCAAAACGGTGAGTTTACATACACAAGTATTGGAGAGGCTCCCATTAGTGGCAATCTTAAAAAGCGTACACGAGTTTCAACGCCCTCTAGTGATTTGTCCAGTCATGGAAACGGAAAACGCGCGGGACGTACGGTTCAATTCAATTTAAATTTTGAAAGGTAAAATGCAAAAAAAAATTATGTCAAAATGGTGGAAAATTACTGAAATTTATTAAATTAATAAACATCTGAAAATACATAGTAATAAAAAAAGACAGATGATAATCTTAAAATAATGAAACTATTATTATAACAAAAATTACATTGTACAAATCAGCCAAAAGCACGCTTTTTCAAGTAAATCATTTGGTATATGATAAAATTTATTCTATTTAAAAACATAATATAAAGCTTGGTGTAAACAAAGTTCTCTGATAATAATAAAAGTTTTCTTAAAAGATACCTGTTAATTATAATAATAAAATTTTTCAAAAAACATATTCCTTTACTAATCACTGCTGAAACAGCTAAAAATCTATCATTGCACTTAGTAATGTGAAAAATATATTTTAATAATATGCTTTTTACAATTAAATAATAGGGTCAAGGTGGCAACAATGGATCAACTTTTGTTTGACACGCTGTAGCAAAAAAGTTATGAAAGTTATAACTTTTCATTTTATTTTCAACAAACTATGGCTCCACTACTTTAATTACCCACGATTACTTTTTGACATAATAGGTTGGTTGCATCATGACGACCATTTTTTTTTAAGTTTGCAAATGATCCATTGTGTACTAAGGTTAGGGTACAATGGCTCACCCCTAAGTAAACAATGGATCACTGGAGTACACAATGGATAATTATTTTTATAAGTATTAAAGAATGGACATACTAAAATGGATATAATTTTCTATTTATATTTATAAAAATAAAACAAATTCAGGTATATAAGTAATTGGTTGACAAATCCCTTATTCGCTAGATTATAATTAGCAACTATATTTGGAGACTTGAACAAAACATAAATGACAGCTTCTTGATTCTCTAGGTCATAACCAGTAACTAAACTATCTGACTTAAAGACTAGAAAAAAAGAACACAACGAAACTTAAATTAAAATTGAAAATATTGTTGATTTCTTACATCTAGGCGCAATAACAATCGACATAAACATAACTTCTGATATTAGAGATCATAGTAATAAACAAACAAACAGAATTAAAAATGACTTAATTAACGTTGAGGGCAGATAAATCTAATGGGAAACTATTGAAAGACTGCTGCCTTGAGGTACTGCCCCTACAAATTGGCTTTGGTAATATCAATTTGACGTCATCTTCTTTCACGAAAGATATGTCAGGCACATTGGGAACTCGAAATTTATTTATTTATTTATGTGCCCTGTGCTTTTGACTTAAAATAATATTAATTAATTAATTAATGTTGTAAACGGAATTCCAGTTGTTCCAGACACTTTGCGGAGGCTATCACCCATTTCAATTCTTAATAAAGCTGCCTTCATACTAGCTGCGGTAGTGTTCCCTCTTGTTCGCGGCCTTTCTGGACGTGGCATTCTGGAAACAAACACTGCGTGAAAAAAAAACATCTAAAACTCAAAAATTAATTTACGACCAACTCTCATTCTATTGGGTACACAATGGATCATGATCCATTGTGTACTAGGACGCCATTAATATTTAAAAATTGTACCCAGCCGTAAATTAAACATACTAATCAAAAGTTTCTGCAGGAAAATAAGCCTAATTAAGTACATTTTAAGGCACGTACACCAGCACTAAGTTATAGTTATGAAAATACATGATAGAAAGGTTCAAGTTTTACCTTCTAATTCGTATTTTTGCAACCAAGAACCAAAAACAATGATCAGCACAAATCAGCCTGGCCAACGACGCACACCAAATAGTTCGAACGAGTTCCGTTGCCGAATAGAAGTAACGAGTGAGAGAGAAAGCAGATATCTCTGTCCCTTTCGCGGGAATAGCGTGTGATCCATTGTGCACGCCCTAACCATTGTTGCTACATATAACAATATTTTTGCTTACATGACTACAGCAGCAATCTTTTCCTTAATTTCTTTTTTATTAGTCCTCACTTTGGTTTGAGTTTTTTAATGATACTCCATCCTCTATTTCCCCTCTTTGGTTTTCTCATTGGTATTTTTTCAGTAGTTGATTTTTTGTACACTTTGCAAGTATTTCATAGGTGAAAAAAAAAAGAAAAAACGATACAAACGAACAACTTTCTCTTTTAAAAACATGTTTTTCTTCAGAGTGGATTTTTTTTTGATAAATGAGGATGTTCGTCTAATAATGTAGACGAACTTTCCCTAGCGAAAATACTCCTTCAACAGCAGCTTTAGTACCTGGACAACATAAGGAAATTTCTATTAAAGCCTTTAAATTTTCATGTGGAATATGTTCTACTTTAAAATGCCATATTTTGTCAAGTTTTATTTTCTCATGTTTCTATTTCTTCCATTTTTCTTCATTTAAATATAAATTTACTCTTCGAATTTCTTTAAAGAGAAAATTGTCATTAACAACAATATCTTTTACGTCCTTCAGTACAAATTCGACTACTGAAGAAACTTCTTTCCATTCTATTTTACTATTTAGAAAGTAACTATCCATTATTCGATATATTCATAGCAAATTTTATAAAAAATTTTAACTTTTAAAAATTTATTTTTTATTTCGGGATTGGAATCTTCTAAAACGGTCAGCTTACGTACACAAATATTGCAGAGATAGATATATCTATCTCTGAAGTTTCTAGTACATATCCATTTCTCATGTACATAATACAGCCTCCGGAAACGGCAGCCATATGTACGCGCGAAATTCAAATCATTGTCAAACTGGCGTCTGGTGTTTATCCTGTTCTCTGACGTGTCGGAAACGGCGAGTAATATGCGCGCGCAAAATTCAAATCACTGTCAAAATAATTTTAAATATTTTATTAATAAAATTGAAATAAAATAGTCTAAAATTAAAATATGTTTTAGAAATACAGATGAGCGTAAATTAGTCCTTTTCGAGTACGGAATTTGAAAAGAGTACGCATTGCGACAAAAGAGTACAAAACTCAGAAAATGAGTATAGATGGTCACTTTAACAATGGTAATAATAATAAGCAAATTTATTTCAACGGGTTTACATCCAATTACAGAAAATGTGTAAATAAGAGAAAAATAATGAAAATACAGTACAAAATACAGGGAAGGTAATTACTCACACGGAATCACACAACACGCAACAATCTTACGAAGTGTATCATTACCACACATGAATAAAATTGGCAACTGATATAAAACATTTGTCCTAGGTGTAGGGAGATGAAATGTAGGCCTAAATCTGGCGTCAGTTTTGGAGACGTAAAAAAATTAGTGTCTCTCCTAACCTCCAGAGATGATTCCTCGAACCTGCCTAATAGTATATGATGGTCAAATCCTTTATGGGGATATACAGGGATATTCACGGTGATTGTCCTAATAAACGTTTATGGGGAATCACTTACGATGAAAACATGAAATGTTAGTTACTTAGGTAAGCGAATTAGAGCTAGCTATGTAAAATATTTTTGGCCATGCGGTGTTGCCAGGTGTACCGTATATCAAATTTCGTTTTATAAATGGAACACCCTGTATAACTATATAAACTTGTATAAATATAATTTACATTTTTAATCCTGCGAAACATTCTGGAACTTTTTCATCTAACACATACCATACTTACTTTGAACATTTTTAGATATAAAAAATACATTGGCAACAAATAGACATAAAATTTAAAATACTATAACTGCTGCTTAAGAAACAAATATAAAAAACCATCTTCCTCGAATCAACGTAAACATTTTAATTTCGCAGAAATAAATCACTTAACCGGATTATTTAAAGAATTAATATAAAACAACCCGAATTAATCCAACTCAAACACACGGAATAGGACCACAATCAAAAACCGTCGCAGTAAATCAACAATTAAAACTGAATCTTTATTAAAACTCGTGAATGCTTGGCTTTTTCAGTAATGTAAGGTAAAAAAATAAACTTTTTTCATTCCCTCACTAAAAATATAATGACTACATTAAAATTCTATTTATGACTTTAAAAAATTACATCAATAACATCAAATAATCTATACCTACTTTTTTGAAACGCCCCTTTTTCCACGCATTCTCTTTGAATCTTTACCATAAACACAGTTTCGTTAAATTTTTTCAAGCAAAAAAACCTTTTCTGGAATCCTTTTTCTAACAAAAATAGAATATCGCATAAAAATATACATAAATACATAATACATAATAAAAATATTAAATGCCATGCACAGGAAATACTATGCATTCAAATTTTAAAATTAAATCCAACAAAAATGTATGAAAATCAAAAAATAATGAAAAAATTATACACTATTTAATTTATAAAGTTATTTAAATTAATAAACGAATGAAGGAACAATACTTTTCGTAATCGGCAAAACCGTTTTAGGAAAATAAGTCCATAATCAAGTGAGTTATTTCACCTGATCCGTTTAAAGTGAACCCCTCACATTTTTATAATCCAAACAATTTAATAAATTCATTGATCAATAAATTTATGATTTTAATTCACTCGTTTATTAAAAACTGGCTCCGCTGCGCTTCGCTCGTGTCAAATAAACTCGTGAGTCAAATGGCGTTTACCGCACTTGTTGCATAATATACTATTTTTTAACGACTTTTACTTTGATTTTCTTTAATTTTTTTAACGGTTTTTTATTTTTAAAAACAACACCTTACCCTAATCGCTGTTCATCGCTTTTTTTGAGCAACCCTGCACACTGTATTGTACACTGTCTATGTCGCGGGCGTGCCGGCATCAATTTTTTGCCCAATATAATAAAAGCGTACCGTCATCGCGCAGGAAACAGGAGAGCTCGGGATATATCGTCGCCCGTCCTCGAAGATCGACAGCTCATTTCCGAAAAATCACCAAGTCCGCGTAAACACATATATATATGTATAGACGGAAAACCTAATCAGATTTGCATTGTTAAGGCTCGATATCGCCTTGGCAGACTTGCGCGACTCCTCCGAAAGGGGGTTTGGCCCGACGCCGCCGACGCTTTGTCGTCAGTATCGCCTCGTCGGCCGTCCGTCACGTTCAAATGGTATGTGGACAGTCCGCGAAGCAACGAGCACGTCGTCGTCACGGTGATCGCGATGGGGGATGGCATCAACACCACCACCATTAACGTCATCGACTGCACCGATGGTCTGGCTTTGCCTTGCTGGCATCCCCTCGACGATGTCACCCTCTTCGACAAAATCGGCAGGGGTCTCGTCTACTTCTTCGCGATGGCCTACCTCTTTATCGGCGTCTCGATCATCTCCGACCGGTTCATGGCCGCGATCGAGGTCATCACGTCCCAGGAAAAGGAAGTGGCCGTGAGGAAATCGAACGGGGACAATCAGATCGTGGTGGTGCGGATTTGGAACGAAACCGTCGCCAATCTGACCCTGATGGCATTGGGTTCCAGCGCCCCCGAGATCCTCCTCTCGGTGATAGAGATTTACGCCAGAGGATTCACCGCCGGCGAACTGGGACCTAGCACGATAGTGGGCTCCGCCGCTTACAATCTGCTGGTGATCATCGCGATATGCGTGAGCGTCATCCCGAACGGTGAGGTCCGCAAAATCAAACATCTGGGCGTGTTTTTCGTGACCGCCGCTTGGTCCGTGTTCGCCTACGTGTGGCTCTACCTCATCCTCTGCTTTTTCTCGCCGGGCGTCGTCGAAATCTGGGAAAGTCTTCTCACCTTCTTCTTCTTCCCGGCGACGGTGCTCACGGCCTACGGTGCCGACCGCAAAATGTACAAGTACATTAAGAAAGGGTACAGGATGAACCGGCGCGGAGTCATCGTCCAAGCGGAAGGCGTGGACAATATCGAAATGGTCAACACCGAGTTGTTGGTGTTGGACGACGTCCACGAAGACATCAAGCAGGAGTACATCCAGACGTTGAAGGAGTTGAGGCAGACGCACCCTCACGCCGACATCGGAGTGCTCGAGAAGATGGCCCACGAGATGGTACTGAATCGCGGTCCAAAATCGAGAGCGTTCTATCGCATACAAGCCACCAGGAAGCTGATGGGAAGCGGGGATCTGATGCGTAGGATTTCCGAGAGGGCCCAAAGCGATTTGAGCGAAGTGAAGGCGGAACTTCAAAGGGAGAGTGGTATAAACGAGTTCAGTCAAAGCGGGTCTCGCATTTTCTTCGACCCGTCCAAGTATACCGTTTTGGAGAGTTGCGGATCGTTTGAGGTCAGGGTCGTGCGCACCGGCGACCTCGATACGCCATTGTCAGTGGAGTATACGACCGAAGATGGAACCGCCCAATCGGGTAGCGATTACGTGAAAGCCAGAGGAACGTTGCACTTTAATCCAGGCGAGAAGGAGAGGCGGATCACTTTGGAGGTGATCGACGACGACGTGTTCGAACCGGACGAGCATTTCTATGTGAGGTTGTGCTCGAGCCAACCGGCCGGATGTCTGGGCTCGCCCATGTTGGCGACGGTGATAATTTTGGATGACGATCACGGTGGACTGTTCAAGTTCGAAGCGCAGAACCACGAGCTGGTCGAGAGTGTGGGCGCGTACGAGTTGAAAGTGGTTCGGTGTTCGGGCGCCAGAGGGCGGGTCATCCTGCCGTACCATACCGAAGACGGGACGGCCAAGGGCGGCAAGGAGTTCGAGCCCCAGCAGGGGGAGCTCGTGTTTGAGAACAACGAGTCGGAGTGAGTATGATGTCGAAATTTTTCCATTGTTTTTTCATCCATAACATAGTTATGTACGTTTTGTGATGGCATAGTCGGCAATAAAATGCCAGGCAGAATAGAATAGATCGCTCATATTGTTTCCACTCTAAAACGCTATCTGATCCATGCAAAACAGCCGTCACTAACGATCACTATTATATTACTTGGGAGTAATAGAGACGGAATCATTTGTACTGGGTTATTCATTGTTTTTTGACACCCACCTACAGGGTTAACTTAGAAAGATAAAAAAAGTGTAAATACAAAGGTCTGAAGATTTTTACCTTTTGTCTTTTTTTTTTAACGGATTTCAAAAACATATAGTTTATTGACATTTCATTGAGCCGTTTTTGAGATATTTAAGTTTAAAAATAATAATCATTATAATTAAAAATGGCCAAGTCTGCCTTGATAGCAACCATATTGTCTATGTTTGCAATTGTTTTAATAATGTTCTACTTTCGATAACTAATCAAAACTAAACATCTGCAGCGTAACTTAACTAACTTAAGATGTTTCAAATGCGTCATACTGAGGGAGAAAAACCCGAATAATAAAATTATATTATTCAAACGGACAAAATGTTGCAAGAGTTAAAAGAGAATATCCGGGTTTCAAAATGTAACAATAAACAATTTGAGGACCGAAATAGTGTCACATGACAAGACCTCAATATATTACTTTACTTTCAAGGTATATTATTATACTACTACGACACTTGACATCATGACTTTGAATTCTACTTTCTTAATTTTTATTTTTCATATTTTTTAGAAAATCCTGATTTTTTTATGCCTGAGGACGGAAGTTTACAAGTGAAAGACCTAATATCGTTTTATAAGATCTAAACAGTGAAAACCTGGTTTTATCACAGCGTGTATTAATAGGAAACTGAAAAGAAATCTTGTTGTCTAAAGTAGACCATTGTTAAAACAATTGCAAACATAGACATGGTTGCTATCAAGGCAGACTTGACCAACGATATGGCCATTGTCCAGAAATCGAATGATAATTATTTTTAAACTGAAATATCTCAAAAACGGCCAAATGAAATGTCAATAAACTGTATGTTTTTGAAATAAGGAAAAATAGATCTGCGATTTAACCTAAAAATATATGGAGCATTCCATTTAAAATAAATGATGTTGCTGTCGTTCTGTCAGCTTGCGATCGTCGTTTGTTTTTTCTGATATTTGCATAAGGTAATTGAGCAAAAATGTTCAAACTTTTGTATTTACACTTATTTTTCAAAATATAATGAATAACCCTCTACATGTACTTTCTATGTAATAGGAGTTCAGGATTTCCTTAATGATATGCGAATATAGGTGAATATAGTGACCGAAAACTCTGTAAATGCAATAAAAGTTAAAACAATACTGTCTAAAATATATTCATCATCAGAGCCGAAATTGGAACTGCTTCTACTAAAAAATTATGCTTCGTTTACACTAATGTGGTGGTACCGTTATGTCAAGTGTATTCTCTTTTTTCCAAGCAGCACTTACAATGTTTTTATTAAAAAACATTTTGCACTCAGCCCACACCAATTTTATGGCATTAAATATACAATGGTACGGAGGCCATCTTAAAATTTGATTACTCATTTCAGCAATTATATCTTGTAGCATACGGTAAGTTTGTTTTGTTTTTTGAACAATTTTTAACAGCTCACAATTTAGACCGTTTCAGGACAGGCAATTGATAATTTCTTCTTTTCTTGTCGATGCATTTGGTACACTTTCACTAACTCTAGAATGATATCGTGCATTATCCATAACAATTAAAGACCACCTTTCTAGTTTCGCCAGCAGTTTTTTAAAAATTCGACTCTGTTTTGTAGTGAAAACTACTGTAATTATCCGGTAATCGGTGCTATCTCTATCGAGTGTGTGATACCGGAGCGTAATAGACGAAGGTAGGACAGTGGCAGGTATGGTATGTTCATAGATATAAGAAAGTGACCAACTGCTTTTGAATGGGTCATTAACATGCAATGCAACAAGATTGTTACTTCAAGTTTCGGAATTTAAATTCAGGTAAAATTGTGGACCGTAATAGAAAATAATTTTATACCTACCTGCGTTTAATATTCATTGGTTTGGTATACTACTTAGTTCATTTATTAGTAATCATTCTTATTTCGTGTGTAATACAGCGTGTGTTGAATCGTTTGCGAATTATGCAAAATATGTGCGAGTCTAGTGTATCTCAGGAGATGCTCCCGCCCAAATGTACAAACCCAAATGTAAAAACACTATTCGGAAATGGCGACTGGAATATCTAGAAATAAATAGGATTTACAGAGAACAACAAAGGCCAATTATTGACTTGGATGAAACCTGGTTCGACACTTATGATACCCCGGAAAAGGGTTGAGTTGACTCAACTGATAAGTGTAAAACAAACGCGCCATCAAAAAGAGGTAAAAAAACTATTTTGCATGCCTTTTTGCTAATGGACTTTCTCTGTCTGCGAAAAATATTAAAGATTCCTCTCTGGATTACCATGAAGATACCACCGCTGATTTATTTGAAAGTTGGGTTAAAAACAAACTAGTTCCAAACATTCCTCCTAATAGCGTCATTGTAATGGACAATGAAGTTATCACAGTAGACAATTGACTTAAAACCCCTTCCTCATGTGACGCAAAAGCAACAATCCAAAACTACATGTATAATAACGATGTTTATTTTCACGAAGATTATACCAAAAAGCAATTGATTGAGGTTCTACAAAGCTTGAAGCTACAAAAGGGATACGTCCGTGATAATTTTGCAAAAAATCTAGGGCATACAGTTTTAAGGCTTTCACCTTACCACTGTATATTTAATCCCATTGAACATGTTTGGCACCAACTGAAATTCATCGTAACAATGTTTTTCCCCGTGTTAGCTCTAATGTCCTCAAACTTATAGAAACCGAAGTTTTTAACATCCCTCCACAAAGCGATAGTGATACTGATATATTATGTGAGTAATTTTAAGTAATTTAAGTGGGTAATAAAAATAATTTGTAACTTTATTTTAGATTTAAACATAAATGCATACATAAATAAATAAATATTGTTTAGTGTTGCTAACAAAACCCCAAATAATGATATTCTAAGCAAAGTACGGACCTGTTCGGCCATATTTCATTTTTACAGCTTGCCCGGCTCTGTCCTTAATTCGTATCAGTTAGTCACTTTCGTATATCTATGAACAGACTTTAAATCGGTGGGTTTTGCCATTTTTAGTATATGAGTGGAAGCAGGTAAAATAGTGCGGCATCTTTTCTCTTGGTTTTATGACCGTCTACGTCATCGCGAATCTTACCGACTATACAATATAACAGCCAACATCACTAAGTTTACTCAAATGTAACAACAACCATTAAGATTCTAATAATAAAATAGATCGGCAACTAATAACTATTATTTGGTTTTACCACAGTTGGTGAAAATATTTTTTTACATGTTTAACAAAAATTTAAAATCGTATTATTCAGTTCTATGTTACATCTAGAATCGAATATATCTGTTAAATATTATGAGTCCTTATTATTACAATCCTAGACACGAATTTCCCCTGCTCCAAGGTTTTGCCAGTCTGAAACACACTTAGTTCCTTATAAGAAGTTGTACGTCTCTCGTAGTTATTTAGTTAATTACTTAACACCTTGTTTTCTAAAATTTGCATTGAATTAAAGCTTATAAAGCAAGCGCATACCCCATTTAGGGCGTAGGTGTCTCAAATGTCTCAAAAAGAAAGCATTATACTAACTTGTTTCTCTCAATTATTTTTTACATTTGAGCAGAACCGGGATCATCCATAAAAGTTTGGTTTAATATTTTTTTGAAAAATATTTTGGAAGGTTTCTGGATATATCATACCAATTTTTGGTAAAAATAAATTAAGATTAAATCCGTCAAAAAGAATAAGGCGTTTAGCAGAAACAAAGTGAAATTTGTTTGGCCGTTAAAATGCAGCCGCGTAATAATTAATTGCGAATTATGAGTTGATCTTAGAAACGATAATGTATATGTAACAATCGTTAAATAAGTTTCTTTTGCGTTTTATTCCGAATTTGTCGATCTAGTTTGTTTATATCCTATAGATTGTTAGGAGACTTCTAAAACCGACACATTTGAGTCATTTACCGCCATTAAAACTAAGCTGGAGTTAGATATAAGTCTAAGGATGATTTGGGGAAAGCTTTAGAGAACGGGAATTAAGAAATGGCGTAATATGCTATGCAGCGATGAAAGAAAAATAAACTGAATAGGTCCTGATGACAGGCGATACCTATTACCAAAACGGACCATCAGAACCCTAGACATGGAGGGTGTGATGCAGGACTAATTTATCGGATAAGTATATTTATATTCTTCAAGACATCACGTTGTCTTTTACAGAGGACCACAAACCCTTAATATTTCAGTATCAACAGGATAATGATCCAAAACATACTTCTAGAGAAGCAGAATGGTAAGCAATTCCAGTAGCTATTATTAGTTATTAAACTCAAAAGCCATAAAACTGCGTATTAAAATTAAATGGTGTATTGTGTTTACTTCTTAACATTATTAATACCATTATGTTAGTTTTCGACTTAATTGTTTGGTCATAATACGACAGTGTACACGGTGTTCGGGAAGACCGAACAAATAAATAAATCCGTATATGTTAGACGCCAGGCACGCTGGCAACCCGTGACACACGGTTGAGGTTATGAGCGTTTTCGTTAATTTTTCTTTCGATGTTGTGAAAGGGTTTATTAATTTTTCTATTCGTAGAGTGAAATCTCGTTCCTGCTTTACGTTAAGCGTGTGTTGTACAAAAAGTGATTATATTTTTCGTTATAAACGCAAGGCATACCATGTTGGCGATAATTCGGTCACGTCATTAAAGTGCTTGCGACAAAATGATCATTTCAGGAGATTTTCATATATTCATATATCTCATGCTCATGTATTTATACTTATTTTTAAAAGTTAA